GGTACTAAGGATTTCATGAGCGCAGACGTCTTTGACTTCGAGAACTCCTTCCTTAAGGTGGGCCACTCCATCCCCTCAAAACGCTCAATACCCTTCTAAGGTTTTTTTTCTACACTTACTAACCTGTCTACCCCAGGATGTTGCGCGCACTATTTGCAATCAGGTAGAGGGCGTGTCCCGTGTTGTCTATGATTTGTAAGTAGAAGTCTTCGCCTCTGTTGGTCTGGAGCCTTAAGCTAACATCGTCTTTCTAGAACCTCAAAGCCCCCTGGCACTATTGAGCTGGAATAAGCGATATAGTATAGGGAAGGCAGACAGAAGATGGATCACTTACGTTATGGAGAAGGCAAGGGAACGGGAATCAGATGGTCTAATTGAGACCAAAATGGTAACATGATCGAGAAGGAAAGAAAAATGGAGGGAAACGCTGTAAACACACGAGGGCCGGTCTTGGTGCCAACAGCCTGGTTGTTGTTATTTGAGAATTTAATTTTTCACTTGCCATAAAGCCCGAACCCTTCCTCTAATCAAGTACTGCTTATAATACAGGCATATCAATACTCTAGGAAACCCCTTCAAGAACCATATGTGTTTCTGGCTGCTAGTTCTTCGTCGGCGAGTTCAACTACTCAATGTCGGTTGTACCCAGCCTTTATCGACCTACATATGTATGCAAGCGTCCTTATCAATCTCAAACGCCGTTCTTATCTTTGAACTACGGTCTATCACACTGAGCTTGATCTTGAGTGCATCTGTCGCACTTCCCTTTTCCTCACCGCAAGCGAGTGCAAGGCACGTCGAGATCCTGGGAACGACCACGCCTTCCTTTGCAACGCATCTGGTGCCAATGAATTCGGCGTTCCAAGTAAATCTGTCCGCAATGCTTGCATGGTTGTTCCGTCGTTTCGAGTATATCGGCGTGAGACGAGCCTATACATTTAAATCCCTTGCTAGCACAATTTTCACAGTCTTGTTTCTTGTGGTTGCCGAACCCTGCTCTCATGTGCATTGGTTACACTTAGAAGGGCAATTTCTCAGGTGCTTGTCATATGCATTGATCTTGTTCTCACATCGATCGCAGATTGTGGAGTCATCTATGACGAGAAGCTTATGGGTGAAATCGGCGCAGTCATATCGAAGTGTGTAGCAGCGGTCACAGCAGCTTTGGTATGGTTGCAGAACACAGGAAACATCGGCTTTTTTACACCCGCTGCACTTGCCTTTGCAACGGCGTAGATGCTCCGTCATTGCGATAGTCTTGATTATCTTGCCACAACAATTGGAAGGCTCTGAAACTGACTCAACGTTCTGAATATGGCTGAATCCAGAGAATTCGCTTTGCACTGCTTGCAGAGCCCGCACTTCTTTGCACCACTGCTTTTCTTGACACAGGGCACCTTTGCTACCTGGCATGCCCGACACTTTCATAAAGCGAAACGCCAAAGGGAGAGTGGCCCAACTGGAAAAATCCCAGAATGTGCTAAGAGGGGCTTACCCTTAAGTCGGTTCCAGTTTATTTCAAGCAAGACTTTTCGATTGAAAGCGACGCTGCCCGGAGCATTCGAAAGCCTTAGGAATCGAAGCGGAGTGTAATTCTCACTTATGGATGGTGGAGCGATATCTTTTGCTATGCTCGTTGAGAACTGCATGCAGATATAGACCAGCGCGGTACTTGACAGGCCCCCAACTCGAGACTCTCTTTGAATATGCCATTTATGGTTGTCCGCCTGCAAACTTTCGCTCGCTAGTGGCCAGGCCAGACGTGGATCTAGCTCCGACGAATGAGACTTGTCTAAAACTCTTCAAACTAGCCATATGCAACTGCAGAACGGAAACAATTCTTTGGTTTCTCAACAATGGCTTTCAGGCAGACACAACATTTGGGGAGAGCAAAACGCCAGCACTTTGTCTGTTGGTCAATCGAGGTAAAACGAGACTACTGCGGCGAATCTACTTCTCGAACGAGGTGCTTTAGTCCACGCAACAGATAAATACAACAGGTCCGCTTTGTTTTATGCTGCGATCCACAGAAAAACGCGCCTTGTACGAACCCTGCTTGCACGCGGTGCCAACCCCTCCAGATCTCTTTGGATAGGGAGAAGAGACACAATACTCCACTTGGAAAGGCAGTTTGGCATGGTAGAGTCGAACTTGTGGAGATGTTTTTGGAAGCCTTGAATGTTCAGCGCGTCAAATTCGATTGGCTTATAACATATGTGTGAAATTAGCGTGGAGGTAACTATTTGAAGGTTGACAAGGCTTTGAAGCGGACTGATTGGCGCACGATATACCCTGTTCCAGAGTTAGAAGTGTGAACAATAGTGCGATATTATCGGACTAAAGAGTTGATCTTCTTTAATTTAATTTCAGATTTGAATTCTAAAATCAAAAATTTAGGCAGTTATCTTTTAGCAAAGCCCAAGTAGGCAATCTATGTTCTGCTTTCGATTCGAGAATTGGCCGAATGAACTAGGAAGATGATCCTCCACCCCACTCGCCTTCCTTCAAGGCCAAGCAAGATTCAGTCAGACTCTTTCTTCTTAACATAATAACTTAGAAAAAAAAATAAAACAAAAACATACAACAGTGAGGATTCGCTGGTGGTCACCCACCCAACTACTAACTCACCGGCGTGTGACTTAAGTACGGCTGAGCGGACGGGAAGCCCTGTTTTCCACACCCTATGGTCGTATGTACAGGATATAGTATTGAAGAGAATTATAGAGCGCAATGGCTAAATTGATTGGGTGAATGAGGGAATGGTGTGGGAGGCCCATGTTTGGTCGATCAAGAATTTTAAGACGAGAAGGAACATAAATTTTATCTTTTACACTGAGTTCCTAGTGCTCGACCTAAACTGTATTAGCAACTGAACTTTCAACACACCTCACACACCTCGTCCCACGCGTCACAAGAAGAAGATTAAGCAGCTTATTACCGACACCCAACAACAGGAAAACCGCAATAACCTGCCTAAACGTCCATTTCATTTCTTCGGGGTCGAGGTTATTGCGATTGATAGTCTGTTCCAGCGAAACAATCAAGTATATGCAGATCGAAAGATAAGTGATATTGTATAGCGTAAAGTTGAGTAGCGTCTAGCCATGTAGCCGCTTAGGTGGGTTATGAAAATCCTAGTGAATAGGCTCCCTTAGAGACGCCACGCACCGACACATAGAAAGCAACGCACATATGAGAAAAAAGGTAGACACAGCCGTATAGCAACCTGACATCACGACAACGTGTCGGATTCTAGGAGAAGTCGATTTAAAGCCTATGCCAAATACCATATACACCGTATCCTTATTGCACTAGGGATGGCTGCAAAATTGCGGCGCCGTTTCCCATATATATATGTTCAAAGCGTAGAAACTCACTACAGCTAGTAACTAGAGTATAGAGTCGAGCTTCTTCCGCTAGTCGTGTGCTACGCTCGGAGGCATATTTAATAAGTCCAACCCGAGGATCATAAGAAGGTGCATAGCCCCGCCTAGGCAGAGCATGTAGATTGATATACGTATCTATAGGTGATAATTTATAATTAGGTAGGTATGCCGGGCTACACCGATTGCAAAGTACTGGGCTAGAGCCTCCAATCACCACGACGCTGCTCACCTTTGTACGTCGATTTGCCCTAATATTTACTACTCCTGGCAATTCAAACTGTATAATTATCTCCAATATTATATCTTGTACATACGACCATAGGGTGTGGAAAACAGGGCTTCCCGTCCGCTCAGCCGTACTTAAGCCACACGCCGGTGAGTTAGTAGTTGGGTGGGTGACCACCAGCGAATCCTCACTGTTGTATGTTTTTTATTTTTTTGTCTATCCCCTATCTAGCATTTCAATGCGCCCTCGACATCCAAGCAGCGACTCTTCCGTGAGTGGGGTTTGGGCGAGAAGTCTAAGGAATGTCATTATTGGCCCATTGCCAGGCTAAAGATACAAGCACAAATTCCAGGGTTTTCTTTTACTCTCCTACTATTTTTATCCTGGAAAATATGCTTGCCGAAATAATATCTAGAAAGAACCATAGGAGCGCATCGCGCGTGCGGCATTATGTGGATTCACACGTGAGAAGGCCTTCGGGTTTACGCCTAGCTACACTGCAGTGTTGAGACAAAGTGAATAGCTGCATTGTTTGTCACGCTTCAACTCGCTATTGATGATGGCGAAGAAGGGCGCAATAATCTGGCGGTCCAACGAATCAGCCTATTGTAGACCATCTACCCATCTACCGTTGATCAGAGCATAATTTAAAGAGGTCTTGCAAAGGTCACCCTGGCGTCTCGTTTTAGATTTTTATTATAAGGGATAATAAGAATTGCCGACCGCTTATCCTTTTGGTAGACCTTTTAGCGGTCTTTCTGTGGTCCTTTCAGCAGTCCTCTCCAATATTTCCTCGGGTATACTCTTTTTTATAGATATTTCTTCCCTGCATTAGTGCCATTGCTTGAACGATTAGCCCTAGAATATAGAAAATTCGAGCAATAGAGGTATTTACCTCTGGCTGAGATCGAACATGAAATCATACTTTACTGTCTACTCTCACGAAGAAGTCTATCATAAAGCCGATCCTTGCGCGGGGCGATATCAGTGACATTATCAGTGTTGTTTATTTATTCATACGCAAAGCACTTGGTGTCTTCAAAGTCGGATTAAGAAGAGATAGCGAAAGAATAGGCTTCAAGGTCCACTCATTTTGAAGCCTTTTTTCAACTCCGAGTGTACCTTGTTAAATATCTTCTTGGGGGGTTACCTCCCTTCGAGAAACTCCCGACTCCGTGGGAGCCTTGGACATTCATTGTATATCAGCCTTGGAAGACATCGTAAACTTAACGTCATGGTCATAAAACCTTGTCAAACCCCTCATTTGATTGATCTTTTCAGCATCCCCGTTGATTTCAAGTTTCCCTACGCAACCCCCATATATCTCCACTCAAGCCAAAGTCCATTTTCAAATACCACATAGAGAAGACAAGGAGAACAAAATCTGACTATTTGGCCTTGAAAACCATTTGGAATTCTTGAATACCCGACGTGAAGTGATCCTTGGTCATGTTCATCAGTGAGGAACCATCCTCACCCGGAGCCATTTCGATACTCTCGAAACGAGAAAGAATATGGCAAATTACGTTCCGCATTTCCATAAGCGCCAATGCTCGACCAATGCATCCGTAAGGACCTGTCGAACAAAAAGGGTTAGACTTGTCGGGTAGAGTTTGTTGGGAAATGGGTGTATGGAAGCATACCGAGACCAAAGGCAGCAAACGTATTCTTATGTTTAATCATTTCTGGCCGAGAATACCAGCGTTCGGGGATAAACTCGAGCGGGGACTCGTAGACTTCCTCAGCTACAAACAGAATAGATATCAGTTAGTTACTCAGCCCTCAAAGTAAAGTCAGAATACCACTTACAACGTCCCATCACCCAAAGGGGTACCGTCACAGTCGTTCCTCCGGGGATATAGGTCCCATCAACCACGATACCCTCCTTCGGCGTGAGTCGCGGGAAGCCAGACGGGATGGGAGGGTGCAACCGAAGGACTTCGTGAATGATACCATTCAGATGCTTGGCCTCGCCGACGTCCTTTGGATCCAGAGTAGTTCGGCCTACGAGGAGTGGCTCGACCTCGGCGCGGAGTTTTGCGAGTTGCTCCGGATGGCTAGCAAGGTAGTACATGATGTGCGTCAAGGTTGATGCAGTGGTGTCACTCCCGCCCACGACAAATAGTCTGGTATCACCGCGGAGCCACTGGAAGTCAGAATCCGCCTTCGGGCTGTTGTTATAGTGGTCAACCAGGTATCTGAGCACATCGGGCTTAGTAGGAGGCTCCTTGACACGACGCATAGCCTGCTCTGTGAAGAAGGTTGCAAATTGTTTAGGACCTTTAGCGGCAAATGGGAGTTTGTGCAGTAAAATAATTAGCCAGGGAACGACCTGTAGCTGTGCGATGTGGGCCATCCCCTCCTCGAGTAGCTCTGGTACGTGGCGGTTCTTTTCGTTTTCCAGCATCTCGAATCCCTTGCCAAAGCCGAGCTCGCCCATCACATCCCAGGCATAATACTTGAACCAGCGCGTTGCGTCGAACGGTTTCCCATTTAGCTTCGCAACTTGGCGACATAGTAAATCCGAGTACTCGGCGATGCGTCCGTCATATTCGGTCAATGACTTGGGTGAGAATGCACGAGCCCAGACCTTCCGACGGGTCTCGTGCACCTTTTTGTCACGGACAGTGTGCAGGTTCTGTAATGGTCGTGAAACTTCATACCATGCAGTCTTGCCGCACTGCGAGTCTGGTCCGTATAGTAACTGGACTGCCTCTGGGGAGTTCAGGCTCAAATTGGAAGGACCTGAACGAGGAATATCAGTAGAATACTCTCTTTAAATAACTAGGAACTTGAAATGTGAACTTACCAGTTCGTACAATCGGACCATGTTCTTTGTGCAGATTGTAGAGAACGCGATAGTTATCCGAGTTCCCTAGCAAAGAGGAGTGATACAAATTGGAAAATCGAGCCAAAAAAGCCCCTGGAATCCGACGAAGGGGATGGAAGAATCCTCGATAGAGACCCATAGAACCAAAAAGGCCTAGCAAGTATGCGGTGGTCACAATAGCGGCCTGGAGGGCGGACATTTTGAGATCATGATCATTATTCCGGATAAGAAGCCCGGCGATGATGACTTCAAGAGCAATGTATGTCTTGACAATTTGATAGGAGCCTCTGTGATGCTCCCCATGAAGGAAATACCCAATATGTGATGTGATACCGGCAATGAGGGCAATCCGGAAGAGATTTGTATTGGAATCCAAATACGCCAGCTTAGTGGGCAAAACTGGAATGACCAGATACCCAAAGAACCCAGCTGTGTCGCTCAAATGCGTACTCTGCATTGTAGGATCTTCCTGGCAATTGTGGGTGTTATTTTCATCTCCGAAATTGTAGGTGTCCCATTGATATAATAGTCATAGAATGAAGAGCATGTATCCATACCAGCAGCATGGCTCCGGTTCTCTAAGCGTTGAGATCCTTCGGTAACAACACAGAGTTACTAGTCAGGCTCTACTAACAACCATTTCCCCGCAAAGGTTATGATGGAGCATCGGCTCCAATCTTCCGATGGCGGAACATCAAGTCCCGAATTGCGGGGGAAAGGGCCCATCAGCGGGGAGTTCAGGTTCTAGGGCCCTGGAAATGACCAAATTGTACGTATACGAGATCAGAAGTCCGCTAGCAGGTGGAGATAGCTGAAACTGCTGGCAAGGTGGGGGTACGGTGGTCATTCTAGGAGGGTGTAGATATCAGCTTCGGCAAAGAGAACTAATGCCACCAACTCTTGTTACTAAATCTCTTGGAATCCGATCCCATTTGACTATCCTTGACCTGAGCAACTTAGGCTAAGGCATGGGAGAGAGAATAACGACTTTATCAGCGAAGTAGCTCATATAGCTAGTGACAGCCATATTAATAATGCACAGGGGCAAACACACGCTTTAAGAACTATATATGATACCTTTGTGCATTCTATTGGAATCTCCTTATTTTAGCCAGTCTCGGGTTTTCTAGCTGTAGAAAGCCTCTAATGAATCTAATGCCTCAAAGTAGCCCTTCTCGAGGGTTTACTGACAAATTCCGTAGTGATAACGTACATCAACGCGTGAATGACACGCTATATATCTAGGTCTATGTAGCAATTACCATAGCCGTTAGTGCTGCAAGATCAAACCTATAATTCCTCAATGGGAAACCAAATTCACCCAATCTCATTGTCAACTTACATTATTTAGATCATACGAATGGAGATAGATAAAAAGAAGTCTGTGAGTTGAATTCTAATATTCACTATAGAGACAAGTAACAAGTAGACAGGGAACAAAATATAAACACTGGAGAACACAGGTACTTGAAAATGGCGCAGACACCGATAGCAACTAGAGGTAATACAAAACATTTACAGTTGCGACTTCCCCTTATTTCGGTAATGCTTGGGCCATATACCCTGTTTTCCTGGGCTCAGAATACCATTGGGATCCAGCATATCCTTAATTCGCTCATTCAAGCGCATCAACGCACCACCGCCATAATCGTACTGCTCGGCAACTAGATCCATATGTTCAATGTGTGCGCGATACTCGCCATAGCCGGCTTGTCGTGCAGCATGAACCAAATCAACGAATAAGGTGCTGGCGGTGTCCTTGTCCTTTTGGGAGTTGCGGTCGAAGTGAATCATGTTGATGTGTGTCATGTGTCGCAAGTGCATGTGCAAACCGGCGACGAAATCATAACCGTGCTTTTGGCATATCTTCTGTGCTGTGTAGTAGAAGTCGAGAGCTGCCTTTCCGTCTGAGGGTAGGACAGGGGAGAAGGAAATGTGTCCACTGTAAGTTGTATTGTTAGATTCATTTGTCTCTGTGCATTGGAGTCAATGTTGGGGTCATTCTTACCCGTCAAGTCCACGGTATTCAATTGACTTGATAGGGCGCAGACCTGGATTTCCAGTTTGCAGATCGTAAGGGACGTCGAGGGCGTTGAGATATTTTTGACCGGGCTTGGGGTAGTGAGCAGTTGCTGTCAACACATGGCCATTGATTGGCTTAAATGCTTCTCGGATCTGCTTGAGATTATAATCCATCACCTCCTTAGGCCCGTATAGAGCAAAGGTGGCGTCCCAGAATCCCAATCCGAGCTCCTTTTGGATTTCCTTGATTCGGTGGTATGGAATCGAAGAATCCTTGTCCCAGAAGTTTTTGCGCAGACCGCGTTTATTGATCTCGCGAAGCACGTTACCGATAACCGGGTGGTTTTGAATCTTGTCCCGCAGGAGCAACTCGCGGAGAGCATCCACCATGGGTGCCAGATCACGCTCCTCGGGGACCGAGAGGACGACTCGCGTGAATCCCTCGGGGGCAGGGCATGCCCAGATTGACATTTTGGTGACAATGCCAAAGTTGGACTGACTGAACATCGAATCGTAGGTCGGACCATAGCCACCACGGAACAGTGGCCCGCAGACGGAGTTATCCAGAGCGCCCATGCCCGTTCGAACCAATGTGCCGTCAGGGAGAACTACCTCAATGCCGCAAATTTGGTTGGAGTGATCGCCGTGGGTAGTGTATCCCCAGCCCTGTCGAATGTCAGATATTGTTTTCTTTTGGTGCAATTTCAAGACTTACCCGATCGAGCGCATTTCCAACCACGCTTCCCCAGCCCAAAGCGGGAGCCGAACACCAGATATGCTTCTTTTGTGCCTGGATCTCCTGGAAAAGCTGGAAAAAGTTCACACCCGGCTCCACAGTATAGTATGAAAACTTCTCGTTGACTTCAAGGATCTTGTTCATGTTCTGGAGATCCACGATAATCGAGCCCTATAGCCAAAACGAATGGTCAGTCAATTGGACAGAGAGAACAGTGGAGGAACCCAAACTCACCTTGACGCGTGCTTGAGGGCCACCATAACCAAGATTCTTGCCACGGGAAACCGTCCACAGAGGGATCTTGTATTCATTTGCGATCGCCACAATTTTCTGAATTTCTTCAACAGTTGTAGGTCGCACGGCGCAGGCACTGCCGCGCTTTTCCCTCTCGTCGGCATTCATCGAAAACGGATCCATGTATTCGATATGTAATTCTTTGCCAACGACTACCTTCTCCGTACCCAAGGCATCCTTGAGCTTGTTGAGAACAATCGCCCAGGAGTGAATTGTCAGGCCGGGCGGTAGATACTCAATTGCTTGCGCAAGTTCGGCCTTGTCGTACCAGCGCTTCAGGATCACTGTGGCGATATCATTCTCGCCAGGATTATGGCTAACAGTAACGGGTTTGAAGGTATATGGAGCCATTGTTTGCGATTTGAAGATACAAACTGGAAATAACTACAAGTGCCAGCTTTATCTATTTATTTGGAGCTTCCCATCTCCCCGCATCGACGGCTCTCTAATCCCGATGAACTGCCGATGTCTACCTTAGCTATTTTACTTTTTTGGTCTGGATCGCCTCAGATCTACAATCTAACCACTCGCATTTGTTAGTTGTCAAGGTGATAGCTCATGGAGCCGACTTCTCCGCAAATAGCCACTAACGGAAGTTCTCTCATCATCGGAGTGCTGTTGCCGGCCTCAAGCCACATTACTCGCTAGTCCTTGGCACTAGCGGGGATCTTCGCTTTTACAACTCCGAGGCCCTACTGTGGAGTTGAACCTGGGGTAATAACACCAAACCTGGGGAAATTGATCTGTGCTCAAAGCTCCAAGGTGGAACCTAATCACGATTGGCTGTGCGAAACAAATATATCACTATATAACTCACCCCGAGATCGCCGGAGACGAGCTAATAGTGATAACTGCCCTGATTCTGTGGAAAAAATACACATTTTCTCTTTATTTAATTCTATCATGGAGCGGTCGCCATCCCCAGACGATCGTCCACAGAGAGATGAGAACAACAAATTCCCCCTACTAGCTCATAAGAGGTTCTTATGGGTCTCCGTATTTGTCGGATTTTCTATGCTCGAGGTGAGACCACACAAAAAGTACTCCTGATGTGTCTTGGGAATGAAATATTGACAACTTTCCAGTATGGCTTCGACAATGGTGAAATAAACGGCTTCCAGGCTATGACCGGCTTTCTACAAGTATTTGGCTACAAAGATCCCTCTGTGCACAGTGGTTGGAACATCGCGGTATGTTCTTGCTCGTATCCATTATTCTAATAGGACTAATGAGATAAAATAGGCTGGTCCCCAACAAATTATCTCGTCATTCTTGCTTCTCGGCTCCTTCATTTCATCCTTACTGTCCGGTGTATTCAGCCGCTATCTCGGACGCCGTCACTGCGTGATGCTCGGGATGGTTGTCTTGGTTGTAGGAGTTACAATACAGATTGTGACAACCACCTTGGGCCTCCTTTACTTTGGCAGGTTGGTGACTGGTCTCGCCAACGGACTGATCATGAATTTTACATTCTTGTACGTTGCGGAAATGTCCCCTGCACACTTGCGAGGCGTTGCCTATGCTCTAGTGTCTGGGTGGGTGACGTTGGGCAGCGGTATCGGAGCCGTGAGTATAACCTCTCCAAAGATTGATCCCCTCACGAGTCGATGCTGATTGCGAAATTGCTATCTAGGTCATTATCAATAAGACATCCACAATAATGAGCCGTCTCTCTTATCAGATTCCGCTGTATACTCTCTATTTCCTGCCTGCAGTCATGCTCGTGGGCCTATTCTTCCTTCCGGAATCACCTGTGAGTTCATGATCCCCTACACGGAACTATCAGATAAACTAACGAGAGGTGTAACCAGCGCTGGCTCCTACTGCACGGAAAAACCGACGATGCACTAAAATCTCTCACTTGGATTCGTGCAGACGCCTGCGATCGGTTCGAGGTGCTCAAGGAATTTGAGGAAATGAGGATCAACATTGAGCATGAATTGAGCAGTGATTCGAGGGCAGCCTTTTTCCAACAGTTCAGCAAGCGCCATCGTCGCCGTACCATGATCAGTATCTGTATTGGTTTCATGAATCCAGCAGTCGGTGGAATGTTTGTGGTGGCATTCGGAACCTATTTCATGCAAACGGTAATTTCTTGACTTAACACCACGATTATGTTCTCGCTGACTAAATTATAACTACCCAGGTTGGTGTTAAGGACCCCTTTATGTGGAGCGTTGTAGGCCAGTGGGTTGGATACTTCGGACAAGTCATCTCATACCCATTCATCGCGATGCTTGGAAGAAGAACCATGCTTCTCCTTGGAGTCGGTATCTGCTGTGTGTCTTTGTTGATTCTCGGCATCCTATTCCAAGTTCCCGCGAGCCAGTCTGCTCGCGCCGGTGGTGTGATTTTCTTCAACACATTCTACCACTTCGGTTTCAACTTCGGCGTCGTCAGTCTGGTCTACATGGTATCGGGTGAAATTCCCGCGCAGAACCTGCGGGCATGTACAACTGGCATGTCTACTGGAATTGGCTTTGTATTTGCGTGGTTGACTGCATTTACGGCCCCGTACTTCATCAATCCCGCTGAGCTCAACTGGGGTGGCAATTACGGTAAGTTTTTAGTTACATATAGCTTCCCCGTGCGAAAGGCAAAAGCTAACACCATTCAAAGGATTTGTCTGGTTCTCCTCGAGTGTGATGGCACTTGTTTTCATTTATTTCTTCGTCCCTGAAGTCCGGGGTAGGAGTCTTGAAGAGATCGAGGAGATGTTTGATAAGAATGTTCCAGCCCGGAAGTTCCAGAGCTATATCTGTGAGAGTGTAGAACGGGCGAACAGGGAGGCGGCTAAAGACTTGAACCACGAAGAAGCGAAGGAAGGACAGATTGAGCATATCGAGATAACTGCTCGCACTTGAAATTCCTTCACGGGTCGTATCTTTTTATAGTATACAACAATGGAATGCGTTCCATATCTAGGCAATTAACGTGATGAGAACAAGTCTATAGAAACTGCATCAAAGTCATAGCTCCTCAGCCTCAGATATTCCCCAGACATGGGTATTTCATGCCCTCGTCCCACGAATTGCAGTGGCGTCCATCGGGTTTATCATCCTTCTCGACCTACCCCACAGTGGCTGCGCGTTTTGACCTAATACCCCTAGTGGCACGGCACTTCAAGTTACTACAGGCTAAATAAGCGAGGTTAGGGCAAAAGGGATATTCATGAGATGTATACCTCGCAAAGTAAAATAAATTGCGGCAAGAATGGTGCATTTTGTTCTAGTGGGATTTAGGCAAAACAACTTAATATTAATCACAACGCAACTATAGACCAACAAGTGAAATGCGAGATACAAAACCCTGCGATCAGGCTAGTTTGGCTCTGATATACCACCCCAGCTGACCATTCTTCTTCTCAAGAAGGGAAAGTCCCTTTCCGACAAACGCAAATCTATTCGGAGTGTTGTAAGTGAACTCAAAGTCTTGCAGGCGCGGTTCCTTAAGACACTCCATAAAATGGTTAAGTGATCCCGGCCAGACACCAATGATCTTTCCATCAGAAGTACCGCCCTTGTACCTGCGACGAGATCAGCAACTTTGACGATAATAAGACATACTGAACAGTGTCATACCAGCTGTTGCAAGATCCAGAGAAAGTCAGGTTCTGCATAACTGCGTCTTTGTGCTGAATAAAATCGGCCGTCGCTTTTGCGCTCACTACCGCAGACTTGATACCCTGGCACTGGATTTTCTTTGCGAAGCTTAGTGCGAAATCGAGTTGTGTTTCGATTGCGGGCATCAGCGATCCATTCGAGATTGGTGAGTTCGGGCCGACAACCACTACAATCATTATTAGATTTGCATCTCAGGTAGGATTGAATGGGACTTGCTGAAATAATTTGGCATATCGGGGACGGCGCATGTGAAGTATGCATCTGCGCCGGTCTTCGCCCATTTCTCCTGTAGATTGACCCCGTTGCGACCAATGAGAGGGAATGGTGGAACATATGTCGTGTCGTATCCTGTCGCTGCAACGATAATGTCGACAGTATGCGTGGTTCCATCGGCTGTGATGAAGCCGTCTTTGTTGATTGATTGGATGGGACTCCTCACAACTTGTACGTTGTCTGCTTGGAGGGCTTCAAGATATCCTTCACCAGGTGTGACACTAAGTATGAAAGCATTAGCAAAAGCTAACCTCCAGCATACCATGACAGGACTCACCGTCGACATCCAATGTCAAAGTCCGGAATGAGTGATTCTCGAAGCTTGGGGTCCATAGCAGCCAGTTTCTCCCTCATGCCACTCTCAACAAGTTTCCTCGCCATCTTCTGCTCATCGGAGTCTTTGTAGAAGTTTGGGAACCGCGAGTTTAGGGCATGATCAATCTCTCGACGGTACTGTAGTAGTTTATCTGGATTTTGCCGGAATTCTTCCTGTTGTTCTTTCGTGTATCTTGTTCCTCGTCCATCCTTCGCAAGCTGTCCTAAGAATTGCGGCGCGATCCATGTGGGCGAACGAATAAACGAAGTGAGTGATTTCACAACTAAGCATCCCAATGTCAGCACATTCTTGCACGCCAGCTGAATTTAACTTACGCGGTTGAATAGCAGGAATAACCTGGATTGCTGAAGAGCCAGCACCGATGACTGCCACGCGCTTTCCGGTCACATCCAAGTCCTGAGGCCAGCGAGCTGTGTGAACGAGCTTTCCCCCGAAAGAGTGGAGGCCTGGAATATCAGGCCATTTCCAGTTGCTGTTTGTGTGTTAGAAGAGATATCCAGGGGGAACGCACGGACTCAATCATACTTCAACGCTCCACCGCAGTTAATCAGCACCTCTGCAGAGTCAACAACAACCTCACCCGTCTTGAGATTCTTCACCTCCACCCTCCATTTTCCATCATCGTCCCTCCACTCTGCTCCAACAACCTGGTGCTCGAACTTCGCCTTCTCATACACGCCGTATTCCTTCGCCTGTCCACGATAGAAATCCCAGATCTCCTCGGCTCCAGCATACCTATTTGACACAGTCAGCAAGAAAGACCTCACGATCCAATCACCAAGCAACGTGGCAGAACTTACACTTGCGACCAGTTCGGATTGTTCACCCAGGGATAGCTATATGAATGCGCCGGAATATCACATGAACAGCCTGGATACCGTGATTCCAACCAAGTACCACCGACATCAGAGTTCTTCTCATAGATCACGAAGTCGACGTTTTCCAGAGCTTTGATCTTGTATGCGAATGCGATACCAGAGATGCCCGCACCGATGACGATGATCTTGATTGGTTTGGCTTCGCCGATGTATCTGTCAGCGACGACATATTGACTTGAAGGAGCTGTAGACCCCATGGCAATGTTTGTGGTATGAAAGTGACTTGATAATTTTGGCAGATTGATTTCTTTCAGAGATACTCCGACCGATATCTACTTATGGGAACAGTTAATTTACGATCAAAGATTGTAGTCAACACATCCCGGGTATCACGGCATGGTATCGCAAGTGATAATAGATCTCCTTCGAGTTCATGGTCATAACGCTGAAAGGTTTCCGGTAAAGACGGCATTTTCGGGGCTTTTAAGCCGGTGTCTAGACGAAACAATGATTGTTTCTATGCTAGTGATATCCCCGCATATTGCAATGAGGCTAAAAAACTTAAGCGAGCTAGGATATGCACGATTTTTGCGGGGAAGCGTAGTCGGAATGTTGCATCCGAAGCGTTGTCGATCCCAATATATCGTATTCTCCATCCGATAGGAAAGTCATGCGACATCTCAAAGGCCATCTAGAACATTAGAAATAGCAGAAACAAATTCCTTCTCGACAGTAATCAAATTCACTTTTCCAAAAAGTACAATGGCACATATCTTCGAGCTAGCAGAGTCACTCTCATCCACACCCAACTACGTGGATGGAGTCAAGACCAGCAAGCAAAACAAATTCCCCGCTACAGAAACCTTTACCGGATTCAATTCCGCCTCTCGCCTGGAAGCCGATGTCGAAAATCTCGAAGTCACCGGCGTAATTCCTAATGACATTGACGGGACCTTCTTTCGCGTGCAGCCAGATCATCGCTTCCCACCCGTCTACGACTCGGATATTCACTTCAATGGAGACGGAAATGTGACTGCAATTCGCATTCGCAATGGCGGAGCGAGCTTCAAGCAACGATATGTCCATACGGATCGATACGAGCATGAATCGAAGCTCGGAAAGGCTTTGTTCGGGAAGTACCGTAATCCGTATACGGATAATGAAGCAGTGCGAGGTGTGATCCGCACGGCGGCCAATACCAACATATTTTTCTGGAGGGGTATGTTGCTGGCGACTAAGGAGGACGGACCGCCTTATGCGATGGATCCAGAGACGCTGGAGACGATTGGACGATATGATTTCGAGGGGCAGGTTCTGAGTCCGACCTTTACGGCGCATCCGAAATGGGATCCCAGTACTGGTGAAATGGTTTGCTATGGATATGAGGTATGTTTGTCTGATCATCTGGCGTATTGTGCTGGGTGTTGACTTCTGATTAATATAGGCGGGCGGAAATGGCAACGATGGATCCCGGGATATTGTCGTGTATACGATCAATGCTGATGGAGTCAAGACGGAGGAATGCTGGTACGAGGCTCCGTTTTGTGGTATTATCCATGACTGTGGAGTTAGTAAGAACTGGGTGGTTCTCCCGATGACTCCGTTGAAGTGTAATAAGGCGACTTTGGCAAAAGGCGAGAATCACTGGGCGTGGGATGCGAATGAGGATCAATGGTATGGACTCGTACCCCGGCGAGGAGGAAAGCCGGAGGATATTCGTTGGTTCCGATCGAAGAATGGTGAGTGATTCATTGAACTCAGTTATCCTGCTTTGTGCTAATTCGGAAACAGCCTTCCAGGGCCACACTGTCAGTTGCTACGAGACAGACGATGGGAAGGTAGTCTTCGACCTGACCATCGCCGACGGAAATGTGTTCTTCTTCTTTCCCCCAGCAGACACACCTTCCGGAACAGTCAACCAGCGCAACAAACTCCAGAATATGACGACTCGCTGGGTCTTCGATCCAAAGACCCCATCTCACTCGTGGGTTGAACCAGAACAGGAAGTTGAGACTCTCTCTGGAGAATTCTCTCGCATCGACGAACGCTTCCTGACAATGAAATACAACCATTACTGGCAAGCGAACATCGACGGCTCGAGACCCTACGATGCGGAACGCTGCGGTTCGCCGGCTGGGGGACTGTTCAACACTATCGGTCATTTCACCTGGGATGGGTCTGTTAGGGATACTTTCTGGGCTGGGCCACGGGCGACATTCCAAGAGCCGGCGTTTATCCCTCGGGCTGGTAGCACGCAGGAGGGAGATGGGTATATTGTGGCACTGCTGAATCATTTGGATGTATTGCGGAATGATGTTTGCATTTTTGATGCACAGAATATTTCACAGGGACCGGTTGCTGTGCTTCATTTGCCATTCAAGTTGCGACTGGGATTGCATGGGAACTTTGTTGAAACTCGTGAGATTGAGGAGTGGAAGAAGAGGAGATCGTCGGGTTTGGGACCGGTGAAGCCGGCCAGCGCACCTTTGCCGTGGCAGGAGAAGGAAGCTGGGCCCAAAGTTATTAAACCTAGGCTTTGAGAAGGTATTTAACTATTTAGAATAGGTAGATAGAGAGATTTTAGTGAAATCTAGTCGACATTGACATTTACGAACATGATTTTTCAAACCTGAATCATAGCAAAACACAAAATATCCTCGACTTTAATATCAACATCTTTATGCGTCACCAATCTATTGAAATATACATCTTAGATCAAAACAAGCGCTCCATGCCAACTGCAAATGCGTTATCCGGAAATGTGTTCATCAACTGGGAGAAGGAATCGAGGCCTTGTGGCTGGAACAAATCCCATTGGGAAACATCAAAGTCGCTTTAGTTCAATCAGAAAAGATTCTTTTAGCAATGATAGGATAGAGAGCAACTTACAATTCCGCATATTCCGAGCTCCCCGATCCATCTGAGAGCACATTCTGCTCCTGAATCCCCGTCGGGGCCTCCAATTCCAGCACGCCGCTCTCATACAAAACTGCCTGGATATCAGGTGCGATTCTCTCACACCACCCGACCTTTTCCATGCTGGCCAAGGTACCAAGACAATTCCGTATCATATCCTGATGCTTAGCACTATGGGCCTTCCGAAGTGCCAGCACGAGAACACACATAGCGTCACCTGCGCAATGGCAGTCATTCAATGTCAAACTCGACAATATTTTCATGGTTTGCATACGATGCAATATGCGGACTGACATCTCTGCCGCTTCAATGCAGGCGTTGCTAAGCTTATCATAACATCTGAGCCTGATAAGGGAGTCGATTTCCCCAGCTTTTCTTAATGAGAGTAACAAAAAGGGACGTGAGATCGACATCACTAATGCCCAATACCGCAAGTGAAGAACAGCGATTGATCGCGAATGTTGCGGGGGCGCAGTGCAATCCCAACGCAGATGATGAGGTATATTCTCCAACCACTTCTTCAGCGTCGTCAGACTCTGTGTAACTAGGTTGATAGGTAGCCTACCACCCTTAGATGGTTGGAAGAAACACTCCAGGTTGATCTTTTTCTGGAGCTGCACAAGACTAACCGACAGCGCCTGGAAGCCCTGTGGCATGTTGGGAGATGGATCCAGGATTTGTTCAGAGGCAGGACCTGTCGTCACAAAGCCCAGATCGTCGGAAATAGCACATGGATACCCATACCGATTTGCCATCTCGTAGTCCAGGACATATACTGTCCACCATACTCGCCGATGTCGCTCTCGCTCGACGGTCGATACGGTCTTTGGGAATATATCGCGGTGCAAACCAAGCGAGAATCCTATGCGCGCCGCTGTACCAAGGTACAGATACGCCTCGAGACTATAGCAATTTGAATGCATCGCTAGGCTCTGGAGAGTATTAGCTTTCTATGGCACCAGGAATGTTCGGCTGCAGTACGAACCAGTAATGCGAACGCTCTAACGCTCTCTATATCGGCGTCCTCCGCCACGCGGGGGACCAATTCCTTCGCTAGTGTAAGATACCCGGCTGGAGTTGTATTATCCGAGGGAGTTTTCCCCGGAGTTGTTGGCGTACTATTCGGTCGTATTGACCCGATCGCAAAAATAGAGTAAAGCGAGCATAGCCAAGAAGCACTCGAGGTTTTCCCCCGATCATCGAAAGTTTTGTCAAGCATTGTATAAAATTGTTCTAGCGAGTAGAAACAATGCATCGAATGGGCCTGTGCAAAAAATCGTGTGGTGTACTCCATAGCTAGCCGATGACATGGCAGGTAGTGCTCGACTCGGTGTTGACTCGCTACACTTTCCGGGGTGGTTGGTGGAAGCAAGCCGGTTTTCAATGGGACAATGACGCGTGGATCTGAATGGAGTGGCCGCTCACTGACCATGCGCGTAGCGTGATACCATCGAAGTGCCGAATTCGCGCCGACATATCCTGTGGTTCGATAAGTGTCTGATTCCCCCAAACCACAAATCAAGAGTAGACTTACGATATTTTCCCATTGAATCTAACGTCATGCATCCCATTTCTTCTTGAAAGAGTGAATTATTGTTCGACACCACCAGCTCCTGCAGGTCGTGCTCTTGTGGATTGTCGTGAGAGTTCAGAGCTAAGACAGTGTTGCTAGGGTCTGCATCTCTGTCGCTATCATTAGGCGATACGTGCGGAGTAGGGTCATTATTCATTTGCTCTAAATAACCACTTATGCTTTCGACTGTGAGCTCCGGTAGCTCCTCTTCAGAAACGAATCGTCGCACCAGCTTAATCAAAGAATCATAAGCTTCCTCGGATACCCTATAGAACGGTCGTTTTCGATTTTTGAGATTGAATTCGCATGGTACATTAAGCGACTTGCAATACTGGCAGTCGCCATTCTCGACACCAACACACTAAATGGTTAGCTTTTTTTTTAGCTCTCGCATTATTTGCTTCTTACCTTTGTTTTGCGAGCCTTACATGCCTCACAGCTTTGACGCGCTCGTTTTCGTGGCAATGTATCCTCCTTCTCCCATCGTCGCTTTTGTACTTTGCTTGACTGCATGGCTGTGGGAAACGTGAAAGTCCTGGAGAGACGGAGACCGGCATTTGTGGAGATGCGGGGAGCCGTGTGGGGTTAAAGGGGGAAGATTCCGGTATGGGGTTCGTATATTAAATACCTTTCAATTGGTTATATTACTCTGTACAATCCAATGAAATATAGGAGATGCATTCAGGGAGTCATAACCAACTCTTAGTTCCGAAGCCCAGGAGAGCTCGAGGCATTACATACTATCCTCTCCTGTGCTCCCTGTTTAGCCTATGAGAGGACCATTTGATTTAAGACTACCCAAAAGTAAATTAGATATGAGTATAAGTACAATACCAAAGCTTTAGTAATCGAGAAAGCATCGTTGTTCAAACCCGACTCCTTTATCTGTGCTCGGGGCATCTCACCCTAGGTCGCGCCATACTCTATTGGCACAACACAGTGATAGCAGTACACGCATAGGACTCCATGTTCTACAGTACAAATTACTACACAGGGATCTAGGGATCTAATTGAAAGGGCGGTCCTCATATCACTATGATTTGGGTTCTCTGATCCAATCCGTGTCTAAATTCCATTCTACTATTTGCCTTCCATCGTCCATTCTATACCTAAGCACAAACTCTCTAACTACCTCTCTCGTAGACCTTGAACAGGTCGAATTTATTATATAGATTAGATGCTGAGACTCAATTTCAGTACTTTACTTCTTTCTATCAACAAAGATATATTCAGTTTGTTCAACAAAAAACACCCGTGGACCGACCGTAAGATCTTGAACGAGACTGGTTGATTGCTCTATCAATACACGGATGAAGATATTCTCTTACACTACAAATATTTGGATGACATTAAACGGATATCCTCTTGATTTGGCCATAGTAAAGCAGATTTAATACTTCAAAAATACAAGGATATACTTTATTTAAAGCAATAAACAAAAAGATTTTGAGGGCCCGAAGCGCGATTCGAACACGCGGCCTCTCCGAATTTGAGATGGAAACCCAAACGGAGAATCATACCACTAGACCATCCGGGCGATAGATGAGATAAGCGTCAGCAACAACTATTTTGACGGAGACAATTTTTCTCATGTCGGGGTACATTTACATCTCACATTTATCTCGTTCACGTCTTGGTTTTGATAGTTTGGTCATTATTTTTCTCAAATGAATTCTAGAATTTTGGTGATTGGCTTATTTCCCACTTAGATAAACAGTCTGGCTGATTACGTTATCATTGACATTGAACCTGAAGGCGTCCACGAGTCTACCTCGGGCTACCCCACCACATATGAATTGCCTGTCACTCAATTCGAAGTATGTTCACATTGACCTGGATATTCTGTTAGAAGAAATCTTCGGAATTTGCCATTACTGTGGTCGAAATGCCCCGTAGACGGGCCGCCATTGCGTGCAAGCTCTGTCGGAAGCGGTATGTGTACCTTAAGCAATATCAGCCATGGTCCAGGCAAATTGTGCCCGAAGCTTACATATATCTAACTGAGAGACGCATAGGAAACGGAAGTGTGATGGAAAACTACCAAGATGTACCAATTGTGATAATATGCAAGTGGATTGCACCTATCAGGAGCAAGCTCAGCCAAGGTATGCTTTGCCACAAGCTTTGTGAGATATCATCTGCTTAACAATAGATAGAGTTGATCAATCAAAACGACTGGAAAGGATTGAGGCATTACTTCAAGCACATTCCGACACCATCGCAGAGCTGTCAAAACACCGGCAGCCGGAAGGGTCTGATGTTAGTTCCGACGGAGTATATTCCAGCGAGCATCAAAGTTCACCGTCATTAAACCACAATGCGATTTCTGATGAGCAACTCACTGCTGCACCCTCGGAAATCATGTTGCCCGTTGAAGCAGAGGCTAGACCCACTCTCGACAACAGTCTCACTCTTCCGCTATTCACCATTCCTTTCGGTCACCAAACAACAACAAGCAGTCTTCTCGTCCTCCCACAGGTTCGCAAACTAGCAGGCAACTTTCCATCTGATATCTTCTTCCGAGTAGAGGCTAGTCGGCTATTTCCAGGAGATATGTTGTTCTCAATGGGGTCATCAAATCGGTATGAATTACCATTTCTTGATCGCACAATCACAGACAGACTTCTGGAACAATACTTTACATTGGTTCATATATACCACCCGATTCTCGAGCGAGATGTGCTTATGGACCACTATCATAATGCGTTAGACCGAGGTCTTCAACTAGATGAGGAGTCTGCGTTGTGTCTGGTTGCGTTGGCGCTTGGAGCCATCGCCTCAGAGCCTAGGCAGCAGGATGGAGAGGACAAACACGAAGCGCCAGGTTTCATGTACTTTCAACCAGCTCTCAGCATATTTTTCGCAACATGGGCAAACTCCTTTGGCAATAATATTGTGTTGGCTCAGGGGCTGGTGCTATCTGCTTTGTACCTCCTCTATTTGATGAGACCCCTGCAAGGATGGCGTCTTATCCATATGGCTTCAACGAACATTCAGCAGACTTTAATTCGGTATATCTTACAATACACTCTTAACTTCACCGCTAATCAAATGACCTAGATCGGAACAGCTAAGCAAATCCCAGCGAGAAAGCATTATTCGGATTTGTTGGTCCTGCTTTCTCGTCGAATGGTATGACTTTCCCGCCATTCATATTTATCAAAACTAACCGATTAATAGTGACAACTTGGCAGAGTTCGATCATCCAAGGAGCGGAATTGAACCACTAGTCGACAATATGCCATTCCCCAGCTGCGGCAACCCACCGGATCAAAATGTGCAGCACTACTTGGCAAATCTCTCAGCACGTTGTCTATTGAACCGCATTCACCATTCGATATACTTCACTAGTGATGCGCCCACTACGCATCACAGTCATTCGTCGACGGCACTCGACGCTCCCTTCTCGTCACCACAAATACCAAGTAGCTCTCTTATTAGAGTATGTACTGAACTTGATCATCAGTTGCAAACGTGGTATGATATGTTACCGGATAATATCAAACCAGAACTGGATTTATCTGCAAGGAGTGACGCGCCTACATGTTTGCTTCGACTGCGATATTGGTCCGCAAGACATATCATTTACCGACCCTTCGTGATCTTTGCAATTACGATGACTGCCGATCAAGAACCATCACCAGTAATTCTTGATAATTGCCAAGCATGTCTCTCGAGCTGCCGTGCTTACTTACATGCCATGGTTGATCTTCTGTCAACACCTTCACCATATGCGTATCTTGCTAGCCAATGGTCAGTTATTTTTTTCATGATTTTGCAGCTTCTCCATAACGATGGAGGCTGCAATTGTTATTTTGACTACCGTTTAGTATACTAACGCGACCTGATATGTAGCTGCCTAGCATCTATTCTAGTCCTCACTTTGGCGCGACACTCCTCCATGTTGGCACATTTGGTTCCGGACATCGATACTCTTCAGAATATTGCCATTGAAACACTAGAGCTATGGAGAAGCTCTGGATCTAGCATTGAGCGTGCGCACGAGATGGCCATTTCCATCCGTGCGAAACAGCCGTCTTATGCTTGATACTACAGGTTTGAAAGATAAGACCATGTAAATACATTACACCTCGCATGAAAATCAAAGGACTTCCAACTAAGACGGCCCCGCATATTCTACAAAACGACTATGGTGAAAATAGTCACTATGTCTATAGGTGCAATATACAGGGACATGATGTAGTGTAACGTCTTTCGAAGAATATATTTAAAAGAAACAAAGAAATAACTAATTTCGTAACACGAAGAGATCAAAGTCTATGCTGTTAGTGCACACCGACAGACTCCTTCTTCAATAAGATCTCCCTTTCAATAGCCTCCTTTGCAATTTCCTCGGCTTCGATGAACCAATCCATCGCATCTTGAATGCCCTTCGCTACAAACCCATCTGCTTTTATAGCTTGATCCAGGGCACTTCCATTGTTTGCGAGATAATCCGTTGCTCCTAACGCCAAGATATCCCTCCAGCCCGCTGGGGAAAGTGAATCGACGCGCGACAAACACTTCAATCTCTCCGCTGTGGTGAGACCCGCATACGGATGGGTCGGCTTCGATGTGGTAACTGGCGGGAGGCTATCAGGAGTCTCTAGAAGAGCTTTCATATTCCCCCCTGTAATGGTGACATGCTGACAGCCAAGCTCAGCCATGGCCATGACCTCGATAGGGTTTAGGTTGCTGTTAAAAAAGGGCAGATCAGCGAGGTTCTTCCGAACGGATCTTTGGAATTTACCTTGCAATCACCATAATTGGCTGCTCTTTGCCTGTTTTGCTGTAAAATTTGGCATATGCCTCAAGAATTTGAATCACCCGAGCCGACATGGGATGCTTATATTCTGGTAAGTTTCCTGGACATCGATTTCTTGTATGTTAACTTACCTCTAGTGCTGGATCCGGTGTGTCTGTCCACAATGATAAGTCCGAGTATGCAGCGATCTCTAAAGCGCAGAGTCGTTAGATAGAGCTTCTTACTCACTCGCCAGTTATGACCTACCGTTATAGTACGGGCTGATGAACAGACAGCCCGATTGACTCGCAGCGATGGCTTGCTCCAGCCCAAAAACCGACGTCGCAAGAGTTCTAATTCCATCACGGTTTAGTTCCGCCGCAGCGCACGCAGCAGCACCTGTGAATGGAAGCTTGATGGCGAATCGGTCATTCGGAATGCTTGCTTCCTGGAAGCACTTCGCAAGTCGGTGGCAGTGCTGGATTATGGCATCTTTATTGTTAATATGCCGAGGGGAAATCTGTAGCAGAACGCGGCCCTTTATGTGTTCAAGGTTATTATTGACGAGTTGTACTGCCTAAAACAAACGGTTAGACTTTCTGCAAGCGAGTACTCGAGTTTTGTTAACCGAACCATTCTGTCAAATACAGCCTCCCAACCTTCATTGCCGTACATTTCTGCCATTCTTGCAAGCAACTCGCGGTTTGAGTCCGCAAGCATCGTGTTGCAGATCACTTGTTGATTTGAGGTAACTGAAAGCACAATGTTAGCCCGCCGCCAAGAAAAAGTTCAAGTCGGACTGACGATTGTGAGGTTTGAACGGTAAAGAAGTGATAAGCGCAGTATCAACGTCGTCGACGTCGACATTGCAAAGCTTCTCAAGCCTCTCAAGCAAGGTACGGTCAGACATATTTGAATATTTGTAGGTTTTCAGACAATTGAACTGCTTCTTTCGAACTGCTTGTCAAGAATGTCAGGGCAAATGGGGGCGCACGGCAGCTTTATAAATCTATTCAGGTGGGTAATCCGATGAAAGATGTTGGGGTTCAAGTTGATCGACGATACTAAATATTTGCGGGCCGCCTCACCCACCAAAATACATAGGGCGGGCCGCAAGTCCCGATGAGAGTGGAGAAAAGTGATGTGTCGAAACATCAACTAAGTAACAAGGTGGGCTACTTGTCCTAGAATAGAGAAAAATGCCCCTTATGTACGGAGTACACACATCCACTGGTAGTTCTAGAGTTCATAATGCGGGCCGCCCATCCCGTTGGGAATACGTTGGAAACACATCTTTCTGCAATTATCAGGGCTAAATTCTTTACCAAGCCATCCAACAGGATATAAATTGCCATCTTGCCAGCCTCTTTTCGCCAGACAGGCCTTTGCAGATTCGACATTGCTGACCTATATCTTTCGAAGTCGTCCCCACAGCTTCAGACTTATTTTTATCTTCCAGGAGATATCGACACTTGGAGCCTTGCCCTTCCCTTACTTTACGGCTACCAATATCGAATCCCAAGATGGGCGAATATCTCGAGAACCGAGAAGTCGGACTTCGACCGTCGAAGGCGCACACGCGTGATTTATTTAGTCTAGAAAAGCGAACATACATCGGTATGTTTAACCTATTCTCTCCTCTGACCATTATAACATTGAGTAACCTTTGAAGTATAGTTACCGGTGGTGTTGGTAGTTTGGGACAGGAAGTCACAACCGGGATCATGCAATCTGGTGGAGATGTCATCTGTATCGACTCTGTGGAGATCCCACCTACGGAAGAATGGAGTAAGTAGCAAGAAGAATCATATTTCCACCATCAATTCTAACCAGAGCACACTTTTCCACCACAGAATATCTGCAACTCCTCGCAAAAGCATGCAGCGCGAAACTATGGTATTATAAATGCGATATCACAAACATTGACACTACACGAGCACTATTCCGGAAGGCTGTTACAGCAGCTCGCTTCCCCTTACGAGGCCTCGTGACCTGCGCCGGGATATCTAGCATCGGTCGATCCATTGACTTCTCAATCGACGAAATGAGACGTATAATCGACGTGAACTTGACGGGTACCTTTATCTGCGCGCAGTCTGCAGCGCGGGAAATTTTCGAGCAAGGCTTCCCGGCCAGCATGGTATTTATTGCTAGTATGAGTGGTCATGTGGTTAACAAAGTGAGGATGCACTTAGACAAAATGATTGGTCGAAATTAACATAGTTATAGGGACTTGAAACTGCAGCTTATAGCTCTTCCAAGGCAGGAGTTCATCAGCTCACACGGAACTTGGCTTCTGAATGGGGGAGTCAGAAAGGATGTCCTCTGATTCGCGTTAACTCGCTGAGCCCTGGGTATATCCGCACACGTATGACGGAAGACTTGCTGAAGGATCCGATGCAAGAGCGTTTGATGTCTGAAGGTAGTATGCTTAGCCGTATCTCTGAGACGGATGAGTACAGGGGGCCGGTTGTGTTTTTGTTGTCAGATGCGAGTAGCTATGTGACTGGTGCGGATTTGTTGGTAGATGGAGGGCACACGGGATGGTAATTGGCCCTATAAGATGGTTGTTTGATGTTAGTTAGACACCAATACTATACCAGCAATTCCTAACGGGTCTTATGCCATAAAATACAGGATTTTATCGTAATTTATCAAAATCCATGGATTCTTCCGCAATAAAGTGGGGCGCCAAATGTGTGCCATTGTATATATTGCGTATGTTGATTTACATTTGTTAAGGGAAGTATTCTTATTTACCAATCGTTTGAACCGAGGACTTCTGGTTCGGCTGATAGCTCTACTAAACAGCTTTACTCCTCTATTTGAAACTAACAACAATGCTGTATTGTTTAAGGATCTATAGGCTATAAATATGCCTAGACTAATTAAATAGCCTACTAGACCCTGAACCAGCCCCACAATATATACATCCGCCCGGATGGTCTAGTGGTATGATTCTCCGTTTGGGTTTCCATCTCAAATTCGGAGAGGCCGCGTGTTCGAATCGCGCTTCGGGCCCTCATCTTTTTTTGTTTTTTCTTTCTTCGATCATACCATCGCAATGCAATAAGCATTGTTTATTTCTTTCGTGCTTTACAATCTGTCCACTCAACAGCATCATCATTTATGTTTCGAAATAGAAAAAAGCCAGAAGAATTGGGCGCTGGGGTGTCTATCGCCTCAGGCAGTAAGGCATCAAGGGGTTGGATAAGGTTGTTACTCCTTCCGTCTTGGCTTAAGGTTGTTTTGTCCTTCCCATTCCACTAAGCTTAATATGAAACATTGATTTCCCCTGCTGGCTCGGTTTCTACTCCGTACACTATTCCGATCTAGCTCCAAACGATGGTGAAGGGCCGGTGATAGTCGCTGCCCCTACTGCTTACGGAGTACTCCGTACACGGGGGAGCGTCCCGGCAACCCGCAGTGACGGAGTATCAACGGAAATTTCCCCAGGCAGCGCAAAATTGCGGGGTAGAAAGCCATCCAAATTATGTGCCGAGTCTGGCTTTTGCCAAAAGCAAGAAGTTTAGGCTAGATTGCAGAATAGCGAGCATGTTTTTCCACATTCCGTGTCTCACTCGCCAATCAAAGGGAGGTGCCCTAGTGGTCCGAGGCCATCGGTGGACTAACCCTATTTACATGCATGTTTCACTGTAACCATGCGGCCGCCCATTTGTCGCTCTACATGCGGAGCTCACCTTGTGCTTTCTTGGCTAGGGACAAACCGCCTTAACTTGGTCATGGGTTGCAAATCACCACCGGCTTGGCACCCGGACCAGGGGTTCTCATGCGCTGGGAATTTGAGCCCAATTATCCTACTCGGGAGGATATAAAGGGTACACCTACGCCCTTGGACCGGGGAGAAATTTATTAAGCGACCATCCACAGCAAAGGACATCATGCAGAACCTTCTTCTCTCTGCTCTGGCATTTAGCGTTGCGGCTAATGCCTATGCCCCAGGTGCTGCTGGCTGGGATGCGGCTTACTCCAAAGCCCAAGCAGCCCTTCTCAAGCTAACTCTGACCGAAAAGGTCGGGATTGCCACTGGCGTCGGCTGGGGGGCAGGGCCCTGCGTGGGCAACACATATGCCGTTAGCTCAATTGACTATCCCTCATTATGCCTACAGGACTCGCCATTGGGCATCCGCTATGCCAATCCTGTTACAGCTTTCCCCGCGGGTATCAACGCCGGAGCAACTTGGGATCGTAGTCTCTTATACGCGCGCGGTGCTGCAATGGGCGAGGAAGCCAAAGGCCTCGGCGTCCATGTCCAGCTAGGACCGGTCGCCGGGCCTTTAGGAAAGAATCCCGATGGTGGTCGGAACTGGGAAGGATTCTCGGTCGACCCTTATCTCAGTGGAGTTGCCATGGAAGAGACAATTCAGGGTATGCAAGATTCGGGCGCTCAGGCCTGCGCTAAGGTTCGCTGGCCTCAATTCTGCTGATCGTTTCGCCCGTTCTGACCATAACCAAGCACTGGCTCGGGAACGAGCAAGAGCACAACCGCGAAACGATGAGCTCTAACATTGGCGACCGCGCGACGCATGAGCTGTATGTATGGCCGTTCATGAATGCAGTCAGGGCCAATGTCGCATCTGTCATGTGCTCCTATAACAAATTGAACCAGACTTGGGCCTGTGAGAGTGAGGCTTTGAACGATCTTATGAAGACCGAGCTAGGTTTCCCTGGCTACATCATGACCGACTGGAACGCCCAACACACTGGTGTTGGCAGTGCCTTAGCTGGACTCGACATGACGATGCCCGGTAGTGACTTCAATAACGCGCCCGAAAGCATATTCTGGGGACCAAATCTCGAGAAGGCTGTTACTGATGGCTCTGTGCCTCAATCCCGCGTGGATGACATGGCAACTCGTATCCTGGCAGCTTGGTATCTTGTCGAACAGGATAAAGGCTACCCTGAGGTGACTTTCAGCTCTTGGGATGGAGGCAAAGCTACTATCGACGTCACAGGAGACCATGCGACAGTCGTCCGCACGGTTGCCCGTGATTCCATTGTCCTATTGAAGAATGAGGAACATGCTCTGCCTCTCCAGAAGCCCAAGAGCCTGGCCATCATTGGACAGGACGCTATCGTCAACCCCAAGGGTCTCAATTCATGCACAGACCGTGGCTGCAACGACGGCACGCTAGCCATGGGGTGGGGAAGTGGCACTGCTCAGTTCCCTGTAAGCAAGCTAATGCCGGAAGATTAATGCAAAATGGAAAAGCTGACCATGCCGCCATAGTATCTCATTGCTCCTCTTGATGCAATTCAAGCCCAGGCCAAAAAGGACGGTACGGAAATTATCGAGAGTACGACCGACAGTACTACGGCTGCTGCTTCCGCTGCCGCAGCAGCAGAGACTGCCGTGGTCTTCATTAACGCAGACGCCGGCGAAGGGTGAGTTGGACTTGTTCTCATCACATTTATAATGTATTTGCAATCACTAATACCCTGCCCAGTTACATCACAGTCGAGGGTCACGCTGGCGATAGAAACGATCTCGATCCCTGGCATAACGGTAACGAGCTCGTGAAGTCCGTTGCAGCAGTGAACAAAAACGTCATTGTTGTCGTGCACAGCGTGGGGCCTATTACCCTGGAGACCATCCTAGCGCAGCCCTCAGTGAAGGCAATTGTCTGGGCCGGGCTACCGGGCCAGGAAAGCGGAAACGCCCTGGTTGACGTGCTATATGGAAGCACCTCCCCAAGTGGCAAGCTCCCCTACACCATCGCCAAGCAGGCTTCAGACTACGGGGCCGGCTGGAACAGTGCGCTAGACGATGATTTCGTCGAAGACTTGTTCATTGATTACCGCCACTTTGACAAGAACGACATCGCCCCGCGCTACGAGTTTGGCTATGGCTTGTCGTATACGACATTCAACTACACTGGACTTGTGGTGAGCATTTCTGCCACAGCTGGTCCATCGAATGGACCCGTTGTCCCTGGCGGGGCAGAGGACCTTTTCGAATCGGTCGGCACTGCCTCTGTCGTTGTCGAAAACACTGGCGAGGTAGCTGGTGCCGAGGTTGCCCAGCTCTATCTTGGTCTTCCGGACTCAGCCCCTAGTACTCCACCTAAGCAGCTGCGAGGGTTCCAGAAGTTGAATATCCAACCGGGAGAGCCTGAAACGGCTACTTTCGAGCTCACTCGGCGTGACTTGAGCTACTGGGACGTCCAGACACAGAAGTGGGTTGTACCTGCTGGTGCCTTCACTATTTATGTTGGAAGCTCCAGTCGGGATATTCGCGAGCAGGCGAAGTTTACTGTCACTTAGTAGTATTACTCGTTATCCTTTGACTTGTATATATCTCTTGTTCTGAAATGACTTGTCTGGATGTGAAACCTTGGGTCTCAGAATATGCCAACTAAATCCAAGACTCAATGTGACGAAAGGTTCTATCTCGAAACTTGCTTCTTTGTTATGATTCGTGTGGCTTGGTCCATGGAGGCCACTATCTTCAAGACACAGCGTCGTCGGGTTGTTCACTCGAGACATGCGCCGGGAACAAAGAACACAAAGATCGGGCTTTGTAACTGTTGCTTCTTTTATTGTCAATGAACATAGGATTGACTAGTTTTTTTCAATATAATAACTAACAGGCATAAATAGCATCTAGTCCGTCCATTTCGAAGTAACAAACCACCATAAATCCAGCTTCTACCCACTGTTCGATCCATCTGCAGCAACCATCGTATACAAATCCTCCTCTGCCAAATCATCTCAGATTTACTTCATTCATTCGTCTCCCAACATGGCTTGGTGGGACAGTTCCGCGCCCGGCTACATCGAGAATCTCATGCCAACCTACATAAAAGAGATCTGCGAGTTCCGATCAGAAGTCGAGTGTCAGATTGATATCTTGGTCAACTATCCGGGCCATCAGCAATTAGTGAGCGAGAAACTCATTCGGACTGCTCGATCCATGCGCAAGATCAAAACATTGGCATCTGATATCTCGGTGTATCTGCCGAGTCACGAATTCGTTGCTGCTGCACGCCCTGGGTTCTACCAGACGACTTTTCCTCGAGTTTGTGATTTTATCGAGCAAACTATGATTGAGCTTAGCAAGGCTCTGGTGGATTATCCGGAGTGTGACGAGGATGTTGCCTCTCAGCTTCAGGATTTGTTGAATACTATGTAGTTTTGCATATTTGTTAGGCGGGTTTTGTACAATTTAGAAGATTTCTATAGTGGATTTGATTTTACTGCTCGTTTTGGAGTACTTACCTATATGTAACAAGTAAAATAAATAACTGATTTATACCAACGGAGTTAATGCAGAATAATCTCCTTTCCCTGGAATGAGAGGTTGTTTGCGTAAATTATGTGCAAGGCTGAGAGTGGCTGGGTTATCAACCAGCCCAATACAAATATGCGACAGCGAGCCTCATGATTTGGAATTGGCCTCGTGGTTCCCACTAAGAAAACAGCGTGAGCAATATTATTAACTGGTCTATTGATTTCGAATGTGTTGTCACGAGAAACTTACCTGCCAGTAGGAGACTATGGAACGCTCGCAGCGATATCAAAAACAATTATTCCTAATCAGCCGATATTCGACACCGGATGCGATCATATTACATCTGAAATGCCTCTCATCGAACGTGGAATGTCGTTAGTGGGATTCCTCATAAAAACTAAGCCCTTCGCACACAAGGACCAAGACCTCCCTGCGTCAGCCCAAGCTAAGAATAATCCTACCCCGAAATAATTGCTATGCATTTTCGATCTGGTCGATGGAGCTTTTTGCTTGCACTTATATCTGCATGTTTGTTTGCTTCGGTCGAATCCACTAAGGATTTCTCGAATCGCCATCTGAAATCAACCTTCACATTTGACCAGCTCTGGAAACTCGAAAAGAGCTTCTGGGATGCATTTCTCTACCCTGCAAATATCGAACAGACTAAAGGCAATGCATCGACTATTTTCGCATCTGATGTTAGTTTATTCAAGTTTTTGCAGTGTTTTGGTTTCCATAAGCTGACACAATACAGGTGCAAGGCCGTGTCGACATCACCCGAACCTTCAATGGCGACGAGCTAAACCGCGAATATATATTTGGCCTATTCGCAGATCCAAACCACGTCAGTATCGTCGGTATCCCGATCGCATATAACATCACTCAATTCACCGCGAATGACAACATTGCATCCGCGACAACGGTCGTCACCTACAACGCAACCACTTTCGGCGTCCTCCTGCCAGTGACGATCGACACATGGATCGAGTTCAACAAAGAGGGCAAGATTGCACAGTATGACGCTACATTCCGCTGGTTTGACTACTTCCTTGACTTCCTGCTTGAGGGAGCCGCAAAAAAAATAAACGCCACTTCGCCCGACCAGGCTGTCGCCTATGTTGCTGATTTGCTAGCCACGACCATCTGTGATACACATGAGCAGCATTGTACGGGTTCAAATCAGCAATATACGGACCATCAGAGTTGTTATGACTATTTGACTAAGACTTTGCGATTTGGAAAATCTTATGAGATGGGTCGTAATACGTTGCTATGTCGTGAGGTTCATGAGCATATGGTGCAGTATCGGCCTGACGTGCATTGTTCGCATATCGGTCCTAGTGGGGGTGGATACTGTGTTGATGATATGGACTACACGCAAACCGTGTTACAGAGATACTTCAATGACTCTTGGATTCCGTTTGGATATGGGGCTGATCAGAATATTTGGCTTGCCAACTGACAGGCCATCATTTGGGTTGAGGAATGATCTTGCACTAATATTTTTATGCATTAGAGTTAAATATACAGGCTTATTTTCACAAATATCCAGTGCATTAGAACTGGCATTTTGGTCTACTGATGGATGTGGGTCAATATAGTATTTGCTCATCGTCTCCACAGACTCAGCATGGTGAACCACCTCAAACAAACTGGAGACACAATTATGTTGCTCTTCATTAATCTGCATTAAGACTTCAACCTCTGTCACATGGAAACTGAACTCAAAGTTTTCCGAAATATGTATTCAGGTCCATGCTCTTTGAATACCACATGTCATTTAGAATCCTGCACTGTCCAAATCTGGTATCCGGTCTCACGATCTCCTAGGAGTGTGACCACACAAACCTAAGCGATAAATAATTGCCACTGACCATAGAAAGAGCTCATAGGCATCATATATTGGCATGCCATTATCTGCGCCATCTTGCGTGCTATGTCACACCAGAGACGAGATGATTGGCGCTCTTATAGCCCCTTGATGATAAGATGCAAGCCCCCTAGCTCATCCTCAGTCTAACGTGGCACTACGCGGAGTTTTCCCGAGCAAGGGGCTGTTTAGTGATCTACATCTCGGAGCTTTATGAGTGATATCATAGGACATACATCGGCACAAGTCTCCGATGTCTCCAACCTCATTTGGCAATGATCATACTCTACATTCCAATCCCTTTGCAACTCCGTGCCTAGCCGGCTTTTATGCTGCCCCAGCTTACAATCCTCCGTCGCAGACCGAGGTAGCTCTCTATTCCCCACGTAAAGCACGTCAGTTTCGACCTTTTAAAAACGTTGTTTTCTTTGAGGCTTCAACGCAGGGGCTCAATATCATACCCCGGCACAACAAATTTATGAAGGTGCTCTCAACGATGCACATATATCCTAGATTGGAATCATCAGATTCCCAGCCCGATTGCGAAATCGACGATATGGTTACTCTTGAGCTACCATTCATGTTTGAGATAGATACACAAGTGTATAATATCCCGCTCGGCCGTTGAAGTTGCATGCCAGCCCTGATAGTATACGTACGGAAATTCCTTCCGTCACCTGGCTGATCTTTACCAAGGTTTCTTGCCATCCCTTCGAACGTTAGACCTCCTTGACAGTGATCAAACAATGTGACCAAAGTTCTTGTTGCTTAATATAGATGCAGTTAAAATGGACACATTCACCGTTAGAACTTTCTTCTGTCTCTAATGTCACTGTTCAACCAGTCCCATGAATTTCAACGTCACCAATATGGAGAGAAGACGCTCTTCTTGCAGCAACTCACTGCCGGGCAGTGAGGCACAGATACGCTTGTGTCCTGACAAGTTCGAAGAATCTTCCACCGATGAGCAGAACTTACCACCGGTCGACGGAGGGTTCCAGGCATGGATGTTTCTGACAGCCTGTGTAATGATCGAGGCTTTGATATGGGGTAAGTGAGCTTTTTTTTGGCTACAAGGACATGGAAATCTTGATGCTAACTATGAGCAGGCTTTGCCTTTGCATTTGGGGTCTTCCAGAAATATTACCACACCCATGCAGCTTTCCAGGACTCTAATATGGTAGCTGTTGTTGGAACATGTGCTACAGTTAGATCATCACCTTTGCTTACAACGATCTATCGCTAACACCATCCAAAGGGAATATCATATTTGAGCTGTCCACTGGTTATTGTTGCTATGATCCTCCTTCCTCAATGGGGACGCTGGTTCTCATCTTTCGGACTAGTCATAATGTGCCTTTCCCTGGCACTGGGCTCATTTTCATCCAACATCACTCACCTCGTCCTCTCCCAAGGAGTCGGTTTCGGAATCGGCGGTTGTATAGCATACAGTCCATCCATCCTGTACATGGACGAGTGGTTCGTCGACCGACGAGGACTCGCGTTCGGCATCACCTGGGCTGGATCAGGGATATCAGGGATAATATTCCCGATTAGCCTAGAGAAGCTATTGACTCGATTCGGATTCGAAACCACGCTTAGGATCATCTCCGTGGTGGTGTTTGTTCTCGCTGCGCCTTTCTTATACTTCCACAAGCCCCGGCTTCCGGTTAAGAAAACCGTCGATTATAAACGTCTGAACTTCCGATTCCTCACCACCAGGATATTTTGCGTCTATCAACTCGGCAACATCATTGAAGCTCTTGGGTTCTTCTTGCCTGGAATTTATCTTCCGTCTTATGCGCGGAGCATTGGTAGTACAGATTTTCTCTCGTCATTGACGGTCACGCTTTTGAATCTGGCCTCGGTTTTTGGAAGTGTTACTATGGGCCATCTGGCAGATCGATATCATGCCATCACCTGCATTACCATCTCGACTGTCGGTAGTACACTGTCTGTATTTTTCCTCTGGGGATTTGCATCGACTTTGCCTACCTTGTTCGTATTTTGTATCGCATACGGATTGTTTGCAGGTTGTTACTCGGCGACGTGGTCGGGGATAACGCACGAAGTCCGACGAGTCGATCCGACTGCTGACGCAACTATCATATTTTCGGTTATTGCGTTTGGGCGAGGAATTGGAAATGTCGTTAGCGGCCCGCTAAGTGAGGCTATACTCGTTGCAGACCCGTGGAAGGACTCGGCTGTGGCGGGCTATGGTAGTGGATATGGGCTTATTATCCTGTGTACGGGGATGAGTTGCTTGTTGAGCGGAGTATGTATAGTAGCGCATTACACGAAATGTATATAGGCGAGTCTCGTTGCACATTTACGCTGATGATTAACGTCTGCTTTTTTGGTGGGACAAAGGATAGTTAAGGATAGTTAGACTTGCTACATATGCTACTGCTTCAAACTGATGGACTTATTTTCCTCGTTGGCTAACTATTTCTACCCTTCGAGCATGCTCCTATGGTCAATTCCTTTCTATTTCATAAAGAACTTGATTAATAAAAAAAAGATTTTAAGTGAAGGTTGCTGGATGAGCAGGTATATTGATGGATAAAAAGATGGATAAGATATTTGTATTGAATATGATGAGAAGGATGGTGAAAGAGAGGCCGATTCTGCTTAAACCATCATCTTCCATACAATTCTCTTAATTAATCTCCGTCAATATACTTGCTCGCCCTGTAACATTCGAAGGTTATGAGCCCGGTTTACTAAGGTCAGATTTCAATATTGCTATCCGGGATCCGCCAGCATCCGAGTGCGCGGAAGTATATTATTCGACCTCCTACCATCACCACTATGTATTTCCCTTTGAATATCCAACTATGAATAGTATGTCGTATGCTCAAGAAATGGTAGGAACTAATAATTTAAACATCTATTTTAGCTATGCAACGGTTTATGTAGAATTTTCACATCCACGACGCCATCATCCACGCCACCGGGGTACACCGGGCTTCCCGACGATCCCGAACCCACTTAATCTTAGATCTTCGAATCAATGTTCGGATCTTCGAAGCTTTAATCTTGTTAGACTTTGATATCAAATCAAGTCGTCCCAGATGTGGACTGGTCAAGTGGTCGACGTCACTCCAAGAGAACATGGCGATGCTGATTCCACGACACACGCTCAAATGTTTATACTGTGGTCCATGACGCCAATGTAGAGGAAACTACCGGTTATTTGGAAAGTCTACTTGATCTAATGTACTGAAAGATTACCGCATGCATCGCCTGGGTGATGATGACTCGAGATGACTCGGAAGATTGCGCGGTTTTAGGGGTTTAAAAGGTATTTAACTACCTGTGGACGAAGCAATTATCCAGCATCTTATCCAACTCTCCTCAACTACACTACACGATAACTCTTCAGAGCCAACATCAAGAGCTATGCGTTTCTTCAACATCGTCAGCCTCCTGGCCGGAGTCACCTCCGCAGCCACTGCCACCTCCTCCTCATCCAGCGCAGCCTCCACCTGCTCGCCCTCATCTTCTGATGCAAAGGTCCTCGAATTCGCCTGGGGTATCTCCCAGTTCATCGGCGGTTACTATAACTCCACCGTGAACAGCACCTTCGGAAACTCCAACAACGCCACCATCCAAGCCTACCAGAAGGTCCTCTTCGGTCTCGAGAAGGACAACACCCTATCAACCGCCGCTGTCGAGAAGGTCGGCGCCAAGGCCCCCGGCTTCTCCAAGCCCCAGTGTGACTTCAAGTTCCCCAAGGTCAACAACACCCAGGCTTGGGCTTCCTGGGCCTACCGCTTCGAGGATACCGTCACTGGTGCCTTCATCGGTCTGGCCGGATACACCGAGTCCCCCGAGGTCTCCTTCCTCATGGCTCGTCTGGCTGCTGAGCACAGCGCCCACTCTGCCTTGATTGGCAGCCGCGTTAACTCGACCTACTTCGCCGCCAACGCTTCTTCTCTTGTCGCGGCTTACGGCCCCGCCCAGGTTCTGTCCACCCGCAACCAGACCGGTAGCCTCGGCGAGTATCTTGGTGGATGCCTCACTGCCCCCGTCAGCCGCTGTGGTCCCATGAGAATCGGCCCCTTGGCTGCTACTCCATCCTCTTCCGGTGTTGCCAGCAGCACCAGCATGGCCACTTCTTCTTCCAAGAAGAACTAAGAGGTTAATTGTGGAATAACGAAACACCGACCTCTTTTAAGTTGAGGAATGTTTCAAAATGTAGGATTGTGTACTAATTTTGGTCAATTTGATCAATTTGAGAGGAGGGATATCGCTGTTAATAGAGCAGGATTGGAATACATGTGATAATTAATGGACTAATTGGAGATACGTCGATGATACTTATTCTTTCTATACTTTATTTTCTTTCTATACAATTGTAATTAAATCGACAGAAACCCTGAGAGGCTGGAATCAAATAAAGCTCATTCTCGAGATAGACAATCATTCGATATTAACGAGCATAAAAAGGACCAAATCTTAGATTCCCCCGATGATATCATACTTCCCGTCGCCTTGTGTCAACCGCGTCTTCCAACTTGGGATCACGACTCTGGAAGTGGACCAACAACAACCCAGGCACAGGGACTTATCTTTAAATCTTGGAACACCCAGAAAAAATTCTCGTTCGGCAATCGCGAGGCAATATGAAATCGAAGAAAAGTCTTAACCAGGTGATCATTTCCTAATACAGGTAAGAATACGAATGCGAAGTAGAGCCAAGACTAGTACGTAGTTATCAGGTCCCAACAATGATTCTTAAATTATCTTCAACTATTCTGCCTTAAAATCTGCATCCTAAACGACCACGAGATACGAGACCTAGCAAAGCCAATATTTAAAGAAATCGAATTCCCTATGTCTAGGAATAATCTAAAATTTATACAAGCTCCCCACAGTCGACTACTCCTATACCAGTGCTCACATTGAAACGATTGGCCTCGATTGAATCAGAAAACCTACACATCGCAACAATGAACCTATCAATCGAAAGAAGCCCGGTGCTCAAGTTCCGACTCCACATCATAATCAGCGCCTCGGTCTTCATCGTCTTCATTCTTATCATTGCACGCATTGCCAATAGTGGTACTCCGAAGACAAGGACAAATATTTGGGGCATTGCCGTGGTGAGTTGTTTTACTTGTATCCTGATATATTCTATGAAATCTAATAATGGATGACCAAAGTGCCTCAAATCAGCCGTTTTCATGGCCTATCAAATACTCACGACTCACATGGAACGACTCAAACGATGGGCAAGCACAAAAGCATACATGATATTGAATGTTATCGATACTGTCTTTTGGTTTGCTCTATTTATTATCACGATCATGGGTACTACGGGCTCGACTAGCGGGAGTAGTCGGGCATTGGGTGGTATCACGGCTACATTGGTCTTCTTTCTATGGTAAGTGGTATTATTTGAGGCGACTGTCTGGCTCATTTCACTAATTTCGTCTTTCTTAAGCGGATTTGCTGGGCTTTTGGCATTTGTCTCTATTCGTGACAGGCGTTTCTTCAAAGCTAATGGGTCTCTTCCTGGCCATGGGATGGTAAAACCTGCAGTTCATGCTTCTTGTTGAAGCATGAAGCGTGCCCTTTTTTATTTTCGTCTATCTGTCTTTCCATATTTGATCTCTAGCTGCCCCGGATAGAGTAGATAGAAAGTTTGATAGAAATATCTAACTCAAATAATGGTGCAATATAAGTGAGCTAATTACATATACCGTGGTCATGCCAATTTGGGAATGTGTGACTCTACCGGCTGCGCGGCTCATTATTTTGGCAAATCCAGGTGAGGTAAACCTTGCCTGTTACACCACACCTGCGTAATTTCTTTCCTTCTTCGACCTCTACATCGACACGTCTTCATGTCCAATTTGGAGCACCCTGAAACCCTGAACATCCCCCCCAAAATTCCCAGAGCATCTCCCCTTGTTCATCCTTCTGCCTAGTATTACCGGTCCTACTCAGGCATCTAAGATGCTGCTGGTCTCTTTACCACCAACGGTGAGCAAGACCCTCCCCCCAAGCCTTTGGATCGCGCTCATATGGTGCACAGACATCCACTGAAGCTTGCCAACATGATGGGAACAGGACAAAGCACATGACGATCGGTCTTTTCTGCTCCCCTGTGGTTGGACCCTATTATGATCGCACGAAATATCCCCCTTGATAATGCTGGTATCTCTGACCGTTCACTGCTGGACAAATGCACTTCATGTCTGTAGAATCAACGGAGGGAGGCACTCGCCACAGCCAGCCAATACAGTCGATTGCCCGTTCCCAATCATGTTGGAGTATTGGGAGGACCTACGATATTATTGTCGGTTCTTCGGGGGGATTACTACCTGTAATTTGCACGAATCGAGTCTCCTGTCAAGAAATGTGACATCCTGGGGTGTGAGGGCATAGGGAGCATGGCTATTACGAAGGATGGAAGATATCTTACGTAGGGATAGCATAGCAATATGATCATCTTTACCACCATCATTCTTATTCCGTAACATGGGATGCTCTCAAACAAGTAGCGCGGCATACTGAACCAGCCGTGCCATGGAGTTGAGCTGTTGCTGTTCTATTCACATCCTGAGCTCACGATAATTTGGCTTATTGTCCGAAAAATCGGCGAAGTGATGAATGCTTTTGTATGGGCGTTCCATGGACAAATCATAGGATTTCCGCACTAAAATTTAGCCTCATGGAGCCTGTTCTCTCTACTGCGCATACATTAATAGCTTTCAAGACAGAAACAGAACCATCCCTTCAATAAACTAGGTGTTTAATATGATTTATATGCAATTCTAGGGAATAATTTCCTGAGATGATATTTACAAAGTCGTGAAAGACCCCTTTTGCTGAAGATTCTCAATCCTACCCAGCAAGAACTCCAAATGTCTGTACGCCGCACCGGGGGTATACTGCGGAATCTCATGACCAGCCGTATAAACTGAACTGAAAGTAAGACCACGCTCCGTATGTGCCGTTCCAAGAATACCACCCCCAGCATCATAATTCCAAGGACTACCTGAATCCCCATTGGCGATACTCTCAAGAGCATCCGTATACGGCACAAACAAAGGCCCATTAGGTGGTTTCTGGAATCCCTGCGCTCCATTCCAAGTCATATTCTGAATCGTAGCGAGCGTCCCATTAGCGAACAGCAGGTAATCGTACCATCCATGACCGATGAGGACGTTATTAGTACGCTCGATAACGCTAGGCAATGGCCCGAGGGCACTGGGAAGTGAACCATCGCCATCCTCGAAGATATCGCCGCCGCAGACGGCGTAGTTTGTTGGCGGGATGTTGAGGGCTGCTTGCACGGCGGAAGAATTGAAGTAGTTATTTGGTCCTCCGGCTAGCGAAGGGAAACCCATTTCGTCCCAGAGGAAGGGACAGAAGTCTGTTATGTGGTAAATGTTGAAGCATGGGTTGATGTATGTTGCTGCTTTAACAATATCGTCCCAGACGTTGCAGCCCGGCTTGTTGGGGTTTGGGGCTGTTGGGAAATTCTTGGGTGGGGGGTAGGTTAGGGCTTTTTCTAGGAAGTTTGTGTAGCCGCATTTGTTGGCGCGGTCGTTGATTTCCGTCATGAAGGTTTCGTTTAGGGCGAAGACGGAGGAGTAGTGGTTCAATGCTGCTACTGCTGGGGCTATTGAGGTGGTTAGGATGGAGATTTGTATTGGGTAGAGGGATAACGGACCATACATCAAGACACTATCGTCGTTAATGGATGGGTCATTGATCTGGATGCCTTTTAGGTTGAAATGTTTCTTGTCGTTTCGGTTTAGCATCCCTTCGGCCAGATATGGAATGTATTGGCCGGCATAGCTCTCTCCGGTGATATGGACCTTGTAGCCTTGCATGCTGAAGGTTTCAATAAAGTTCACCCAGAAGTCGTTGAATTGGTTTGAAATGTCGATTTCATTCTTGACAGTGGATGGTCCGGGAGAAAAGCCGGTACTGGCAGGTTGGTCGATGTAGACAAGATTTGTCAAGTTGGTCCATGAGTAGGGGTTGCGGACGGGCTCGTAGACTCCAGATTGCCATAGGAATGGACCGTTTTCTTGCAAAAGACCGTCAAGCGAGCTGCATCCGGGGCCTCCATTCAGCCAGATAGTGATCTTAGATGAAATCAGATGAAGTCTCGTGGACAAATTGAAGGCAACGTACCTCTTTATCTGCAGCTGGATTGGTAGAGGGGAAAACCAGAAGAACAAGCTCGAGTTTCCAGCAGGCGTATTTGACAAAAGACCAGCATAGCTTTCACCGATGTCGAACGGGACCTGTGGGAAGTGAGTTCCATTCACGGCGAATTCTAGCAGTAAATTGTAAGTAGACAGCCTCAGATCCTCCCAACGACGAAGTCCCGCACTTACTTTCCGTTTTCTTATTCAAATACTGATGTTTAGTCCGAACAGCAGAGACCTCTCTTTTGCGCAGACTCTTGACAGGCTGTTTGAAAGCAGCAGCCTTACGATGCGGATTTTCCAACGCAGCGACCGCAGCCACCAACAAAACAAAAGGTGCCAAGACCAACATTGTAGGATAATCTTCCGCGAACTTCGAGAACCTGAATTGGAATCCAAAGAGCACGGAGATGTGCAATTTATAATCCCATTGTCTCAGGGGAGACAGGTCGTCGGAGCGATTTGCATTCCGAGTGGAGACCAACACACTACCAAGCTTTGCCAATAGAGACCATCGACGGTTGGGGCGAGACCCGCCCTGAGGCAGACATTGGTTGCTAGCAAGGGGGATATGCGGTGATTGCAACGTCGTCAGAAACATCCGGCATAGCGATTCGATTGATTCTTTTTACCCCGACGGAGTCCGTTATCTAGATTAATTGTTGCGCTCGTAGCGTCGGCCTTCTCTCCTTTTGGAGAGACGTTGTTCATTTGAAGAGGTGTTGGTGCATGTGACTGATGTGTTTATTAAGTAGGTATGGTCATGGTGGGGCAAGAGGCTGGTGTCTAGGTAGATGATTTGGTAAATGCATTTCGTAGTGTCATGTTATGTGTGTTCTTGCTGTTACCTATATCTGTACCTTCAGAGGGATCTTGACTCGGGTCAAATTAATTGATACCACCCGAACAAGGCGCATCGCAACACATCCTGAAGACATCTAGATATCATATGTCATCGACGTCATCGTGTGGATAATAGGCCCTGCTGGATAGCTGGATTCCCAGGGTCTCGGCCCATACTTGAAACCGAAGATGTGGAATTGAATTAATATGGCAATGACAGGAAGCAAATATTGTGAAAGGATGGCTGTATAAAAGAGAACCTTGGAAGGTTGAAAATATCACCTGGCAAATATGTAGGCCTCAGGCATCAACGCATTCACATGCCTTATCTGAGTGGTGCATGTATAACCCTCTCATTTCAAGATAGCTGCTATTTACTTCTTTCTAAAAGGACCTAAATGGTAAGCTGATTCTTGTACTAAAGTTATCGTGCCCCTCCAAAAAGACCACATCTTTTCACGATGCCTAACACTCAGCCATCACACCGCGTAAGCATCTTTCGTAATAAATGCAGCTACCTATAGTCCATGCATCTTCATGCCCAAAGCGCTCTGCCCGATCTACTATATCCACGACATATTTCCTATAGCGCCCTTTCGGGCTTTTGAAATAAATCCCATGTATTATTTCGAGATGAACAGACCCTCATGTAAAAAGCCACCTCCCACATGTCTTCCAGCATCGCATTGCCAAGGATATTACACGTCGAAAAGGCAATATTAAGATTTCGTAAATGCATATTCTATTGCATATTATTGCGGGGTGATGTGCGTGGGATAAACTTTGGGATATTATTCCTAGGTACGGGGTACATGAACGGGATAAAGAGAGGTGATTACTTGTTTAGGAAACGAAGCGTGGGAAGTATTATCACATATTAAGCTCATGTTGATGCTACGATGTAGCGAATCATTCCTCCGGATCGGAACTCCAAGCTGTCTGGGGATGGAATGCGGAACTCGTGATCTGCGCATCTGCATCTGCGAGGGGGCGGATACGTGAGGCCGATAGGCAATGTGTAACAGCTGACATTCCCCGGTAGAGGGGGTATTTGATGATTCTTATGGGGTAGGAAAATATATATTATTTTATGCTCAATGTAAGAGCAGCTTGATGAAAGAGTAATTCAAGGAGTTGGATTGTACACAAGTGCTATCTAGGGGTGGAATAATTCTATTGAATATTAAGTAGACATAGTTGACTAGTCATGTCGACACGAACACGAGAAATTTTGAAATGGGCCTTTGGCCTTTCATTTGTCAAAGTACATACACGATGTATCGGTATACAGGACCATTATCCATACCCAGATTAAACCAAAAGTTGGAGACCTCCAAAATAATATAACCATAAACTCCTGACAAAAAGGAAAACACATGACCGTTTCCAATCCAAATCCAACCCCGAATCCCAAAGAGTCTATCCAGACATAATCCATCAATCTCGTAATCATCAGTCTCTCATCAGTCTCTCGTCAGGTCGTGAAGTTGTCGAAGTTGGGAGACTTTAATTAGTGTTGCGTCGTTTCTTGAGTTTCAAACTGATTTTCTTTCGTAGTTCAGAGAACGGGTTCACCAGCGGACGGTTGTAGAAGGGATCGTTCTTGAAGTCCTCATCGGTGAATTTCTGGAACCGAGTAAGTATTGGTGACACAGCAGGATGGGGAAGAGAACGTACCATTCCAGGCATGCGCATAAAGTTACCAGCAAAATCATTCATCATGTTCGAGCCCTCTTCGTAAGAGTACTCCTGGCCGTTGCGGTCCGTGGTTCCAGGAGGGTAGAAGGCCACGCCATCGAGGGGCCGGTGACTGTTTACGGCGTCGGCGATCTTGTGGTGGGGAGTTGCCCGGAGAGCCTCGGCGTTTGACTCTTTGACAGCCTCGAGCGGGCTGGATTGAACGTAGCGGTTTCGTTCAGGGCGGGCAGCGTCGTACGGGCCCTCGTGGTGATAGGAGAAATTGGTCACATTGTCCAGTCTGTCGATGATATCGGGTTGCACAAGCTGTGAGTGACGGGGGTACTTGTTGTGGCGACGATGGGGAGCAGAATGCTCTCTTTTGCGTCTCGGCTCCACCGGATGATGTTCGGGTGTGCCGGAATACCAGATGGAAGGCGCAGAGTTCAGAGACTCGGAGCGTGATCGTCGAGAGTAGGCTGATGGTGCTGGTGAAATGTAGCGGGCATATGGGTTGTTGTTGCCCATTGTCCCCACGTTTTGTCGATCTTGACTGTGTTGATTGAAGTGGGGATAGTGGCTTGAGGCCATGGGGATGCAGTTGACTGCCATTCCGATGTTGGATGATGGAATCTTGTATGAAAAGGTATCCAAGGTGAAAGGCGCAAGGCGCGAAAATTACCCGGTATAAGCAAGTACTTTATTTAGAACAGGTGAGGCTGAGCTGTGATGCAGGGTAGCTCGTACAACAGCTGAAGATGTTGATTCTAATAGAAAAGAGATGAATCGATGAAGATGAGAGTAGTTGTAAATGGGAAAATAGCGAGTGAGTCGAGGAGAGCTTATATCAAAGGAAGCTACGGACGTGACGTGATGACTTGCGTCCACGTTTACTGATCTCCGTGGCTAGATTTAGTAACGGGCATAGTACTTTAACATTTTCACCAACTATATGTACCAATTATCGCCGAGAAAAACGATCATGTGGGTCGAAGATGGGCTTGAGGCTGCCGACTCCCGGAACGTATACGGAGCCCTACGGCTGGAAGTATAGTGTGATATCATCCACAGGTACACAGGAACAACATCCCCTGTCCCTATTACAGGTACAATCAGTGATGAATTAAAATTCTATAGTCCGTAGCCATATTAGAAATAGTCCCATGATTCACCACGCATAAAGACTAAATCTATGCAAGGCCCATGTTGCATCCACGCATCCGAGACTTCCACGTACTGATCGACTATGACGAAATCCCTTGAACATCCACAGTATTTTTTCTGGTTATTTTTTTTACATCATACTGAAAAAACCAGAGAAAAGTTAATCGAATTTACTGAATTTGCTTAATTTACTGAATTATCTTAACTATCTTATTTATCTTAATTATCTACAAAACCGTCGGATATCTATTCCCGGGGTGTCCGGGCGATGACTCGTTCATGGATTAAGCTTATCGTTAGGGGGAAATAGCGGCCAACCGGCACTTGGCAACTGGTCTAGATCTAGACTTACACACTCAGTAATTCCAAATTCTTCTCTATACTTCCTTTTTTCACCGCTTTTTACTCCTTGCTATTGATGTATATTTTCTCTCGTATATACAATCTGAATCAGATATCTCAAGCATAGATACATATGTATACAATATAACCAATTGAAACACAATTGTAATTTTTGATGTGCTTGGTATTCATTGTGAGGCCAATCAATACCATTTCTCATCACACAACAGTATCAGCATCAATATTGATACTAGAGTAATTCTCCGATCAACCAGAAATAATTATTTTCCCCTCTAGAGCGGTGCATAAATGATTCCTCGCATGTATAAAAGACTAGATGCTTCTGTGATATGTAATTGAGTATTTCAATATTTCATTTGGAGTGGCTATATAGCACCACAGAGAAGAGGAGGAATACAGTCCGGCGTAGGATTACCACCATTCCATATTGGAGCTGGCAGCGAAGATGGAATTACAATAGCAACAATGGGGGCAATGCTCGGTTCAATCTCACGTTTAAATGAACAATGAACATTCTCACACAACGGCGCCGTCTTATATAGATCATCCGCCAGACCATGCGAGATTCTCACGCAACAAAACTCTATGGTATAATATTAGGCAAATGATCCAGAGGTCATGCTAAGCTAGAGTTTGAAATCACACATACTTTGTGGATCAGGAACAGGGGCAGGTACAGCGGTAAGGGCGTTGCTCAGCACCGCGAGAAGAGTGTTCGCTTTCATTTTAGCTCAAGTAATCATAATCCTACATGAGTCAGTCTGTAGATGACAATTCTAAAAGATGAGTCTTACCATATATGTAAGTGTGTGGTTGTCAGTAGATAGACTCTAAGCGTGTTTCAAATTCAAGAATAAGCGTCCATCTTATATCTTCGATTTTGGCCGACGCAAAGATTGGTCAATAAATAATCGATATCTGAAGTTACACTTCGAATTAAAAGAAAATTGGTGTGCTAATTGGTGTGCTGTGAGAATACTGCTGTTGTTGCAAGTACTCAGCTCGCTCCTCTACTTCCCTAAGATGACACCCGCGGAAATACTCGATAAAATTTCATATTTACTCCCCACAGGCGATGATAATACAAAACGGAGCCCAATTACTAAAAATAAGCGGATGGTTTACACGCCCATGCGCACCCAACCAAGACGAGGCTCGATTGTGGCCGGCGATTTAGAAAAAGGACTTCAAAAGTGGGCAAGGCCTTTGATTTTATACTTCAAATGTTCATTAAATCTCATGTTACAAAAGACCGAAGTAAATGTTGACCTATGAGGGTCATTCCCATCAAACCGGTCGTTACACTTGTTACTATGATGTATACCTTCTCACAGCATACTTTTTTCATCAACCAGCCAATGGTCGAGTCAACTCGACCACATCTTCCTTGGTCTAGTGGTGATGATTTCCGCTTGTCATTAATACCGATAAGCGCGGGAGACCGGGGTTCGATTCCCCGAGGGAGAGATTTCTTTTTTTTGCCGTAGATTACTCCGTCCCATACCCATGGGAAGTCGTAGAGACACTCTGGGTGTTTTTTAATTTAGCTTTATGTGGAAAGATCAGTCAGTCATGGAGATATAGTAATTTTGGTGATCTCAATGTGTTGAGACCTATTTTAGCAGGCAGACTAAAGATACATCAGAAAGTTGAAGGCTCTGGTTGCGATAACGAGGGTAGATAAAAGAACTTGGAAAGTTTGGATTACTGGATCAAGTTAATATTACGGAGGAAAACTGACCTAAGGGAAACCCTGCATCTAGGGGAAATGTATCAATCAAGCTTTAATCATAACGTGAGAGTTGCTCATACAATAATAAGAGAAATGAAGCTATATCTGTAGCAGAGTATGAAGTAAAACCGAACCTTTGATCATTGGTCAGTTATACTAAGATATAACTTAAAGAACGTCGACAGTTTGTGTAAGATCCTAGTTGACATCAAGCATCAAGCATCAAGTACCAAACATCCATCATCTTTACCAGCACCAGCATTATCACCATCAGCTAGTACTAGATTTTCCAACCTTCTCAGTACCCCCCAGAAGGGGTAGGAGGAGTCGGAGGAGTGGGGGGAGTCGGCGGAGCAGGGAGATTTCCGTAGTTTCCATTACCAATAACCGGGCCATACACACCAGAAGGGCTAGGAGGAGTAGGCGGAGTGGGAGGGGTTGGAGGAGTTGCTGGGGAATTAACATAAGGAGAAGGATATCCGGGAACATTGTCGACGGAAGGAGTGGGAGGTGTGGGAGGAGTCGGGGGAGTTGGTGGACTAGCTTGGACTACAGGGTAATAGCCCGAGCCTTTTCCGGGAGGAGCATGAGCAACAGGAACGGTCTCAGGTGTGGGTGGGGTTGGAGGAGTTGGGGGAGTAGGTGCAGCATCATCGAGATCAACATCGCGGGCTTGAAGCTCTTTATGAATTCATTTTGGTTAGGAATTATTCTCGGCTCCAAGGGAAAGGATTGCGCACGGTTGAGCGGAGTAGGGGCCGCAATAGTGGTAAGACTCATGCCAAGGACCGTGAGAATATAGCTGGGCTTCATCTTTGCGTTGTTGAATTGGGGTTCACCTGTCCTGGTTAGTTTTGAGTGTTTATATGAACAGAAAGGCAGAAGCCGGTGCTCACTGGATTGATTTTTATTGCTATCAGATCTTGATAGAATCCAGGTTCTGATAGAATGAAGTCTAGAAATGTGGAAAATGGCATTTCTCTTATATTCCAAGTTGTTCTTGAATATTAAATCAGAAATAGATCTAGACAGCTATCGATCGTTTGAGATGTTGAGGTGCTTTGTCCATAAAATACAATCGTAAGTTATGTTCGTTGTTTAGTCCAACGGTGGTATGCATCAAATTCGCAGTTAACCATGCTGTCCAACCGTTGGGATTGGAATTCGACCGGGTATAGGTATGACTTATTGTCGAAGAACTTGGGAACCAGTGGGATGCCTACAGTAACAATATGTCAAATTTCAACATAGTGCTACAACACACGGAACGAAAAAGGCATAAGGAGAGAATAAATGTAGGTAGTAGATAATCTATTACGTTTCAGTCGCACTGCACAACATTCAAAAACCTCTCATTGCATTCGATGATGGCAATGACACTACAGGAGCTATCGCCAGTAGCCTAATTAATAAATATCGGGGGTTCAAAGTGTTTTCTGCATGTGTCTACGTGTGATTATTGCCATCGCCTTTCTTCTTTGGGAGCATGTTACTGGAAGATTTCACTGCTGCTCGCGGGATACAGTGGAAACTAGGAGAGAAGATAAATCAACGGAAGCGTATGACTATATCATCCCTGAGAAAGGGGAGATATGAATCGTGTAACAACATTCCCTTACTAACCACGATCCCATCCTCCGCCATAGCCCCATCGATATCCTCGCCCACCGCTGCCCCAGCTGCCGTATCCTCCGCCCCACCCACAACCACTAGGGTGTGCACAACTATCAGCAGCGGGAGTTACACGAAGGTCCTCGTTACGGGTGATCAGCGGGGACCTACAGAATATTAACTTGATCAGGTATTGCTCAGTATTGGAGACATTCCTTACCCCATGAAACAGGGCTAGCAGTTGCAGCCAGCGCAAGGCCAAGTATATCAAGGATATAATTCGACCTCATGTTGAATTGGGCTAATGCACACCTTACGTTAATGCAACCTAAACATTTGAAAGTGTGCTTGGGCCCATTCCAGGTAGAAATGATCAGATTGAGGCTTAATTTCAATAGATGGGTGATGCTTTGCCCTTCTAGTAGGGAATAAGAGCCACTGAAAGTAGGTGTAGTTTATCTGCTGTTCAACATCAGGGAGCCCATCAAAGATGATATGAAGCTACACTGGTCCTTTATTCACGAAACAAAGCACAACCCAAGGCTTGACCTCAAGCACAACACTTTTTGCAGTAAAAATAATGCGTGTTCATGGATGCATATGTAGTATCCCCGCATTTTCAGTTCTGTTGACCAATGATCGTCACCTTGATATTCAAGATCTAGGTAAAGTCCCACAAAGCTGAAGATTGAGTCTAGAAGCATTTGTTCCCGACAGGCTCCCCGCAATTTTGCTCGGCAGATATTTGATTAGTCCTGGATTGTGTCTTGTAGTCTGCTCGACCAGGAACCTGAAGCCTCTATGACCGGGGAATGGACTACCATCATGGTCACGACTGTGCTAATGTGATAATTGGTGGCCTTACTCTGTACGTCACTAGAAGGGGCGAAGTGCCCTAACATGCAGAAAATTGTAGCAGACGTGCAGCGCAAAGATTACACATTACACCCGATCGGCCTCAGTTTTAGGCTGCCGCTCTCTACTGGAACGCCTCAGCCCTAGGACCTAGTAACACAATGTGAGAGTAGATAAGCAATAACGTACAACTATACAAAGGAACTCGAGACATCGTCGACATAAGAGAAGTGCCAATATCAAAACATAAATTTATAGATGAAACCAAAAACGATGATTGGCTCCTGACATGAGCTTTCCCCACATCTGAGAATCCAGACCTCCATCAGAACAACAACTCCCTTGTCATATTGGCAATGACCCTAGTCCAATACTCTGATTCGGAATCCGACTCAGAGTCTAGATCTTCCATCCGCCCACTCAAGAAATCTCGCCACGACATCAATCCAGGGCCATCGCTGCCGCCACTACCTGCAGCATTCCACAACCTCTATGCCTCGAGCACACGTGTGAGCGTGCAAGATAATCCCAGTCTTCATGGCGGCCGAACACGCGTAATTCCTCATGTGGAAGGAAACTGGCCAACGCATCTTTATCTCGAATGTGAGTTTAGGCGTTGTCATGCGGCTCGTGCAAGATGCTAACTTTGACAGGGTATCCGGGGAAGGATGAGTTGTCGCTTCTTGAAGATGTCATTTCTCAGTCTGAGAATTTGTCAGATGAGAATGCGCCCGTAGTGCACAGTCTTCTGCATAGTGATCTCGGTGCACAGCTACCGCTTCATATCAGCCTGTCTCGGCCGGTGATTCTTCGTACCGAGCAACGTGCTTTGTTTACTGAGGCGTTGCAAAATGCCATCCACGACTCGCATGTACAATCGTATGTGTCAAATTTACAAATTTCTTGACTATCATCTAATGCTCGAACTAGATTTGATGTCCAACCGGATTCTTTATATTGGTCATCCAACTATGAGAAAACACGCTGGTTCCTCGTCTTAGGCGCGCAGAAACCGAGCCATGATGGTCTGAACCGCCTATTGAAGTTGTCAAATGAGACTCTTGCTCGCTTTGGACAGCCACCCCTTTATGCAACCTCGACCCGACAGCAGCAGACAAGTGCATCCCTCCGTAACAGGAGCAGCAGTTTGAGCGAGGATTTCTCCGGTTGCTTCCATATCTCCCTTGCTTGGAGTCTGTCCGAACCAAGTCCGAAGGAACGTGAACGGGTCGCGGGGATAGATTTGCGAGCTTTGCGGGAAATCCAGGTTGGGTTTGACAGTGTCAAAGCGAAGATAGGAAATATTGTTGGTAGTATACCATTAGGAAAAAGTTCATAGTATGGGGTTCCAGTATATTGGACGTTGTCTCCTCTGGACATCGTGGCAAAAACATCCAAAACTCGAGATTGATTGCCTACTCAACTTCAACGCTTCCAATTACATAAATCAACAAACGCGAAGGGAAGCCTGCTCATCCTGGGAGCGCGGTGCCACTCCCATAGTGTATGGGACGCCGAGGAGGATTTGAAGAACCTCATGGGCCGACCAATCGCGTGGGGAAAGGAGGGCGTTCATCATTTCACGAACGGCTGAGAGAAGAAGATGCTGATTGGTAATATGGGAGAGAATCCCCCGCATCAGGCTGAGGTAGCTCTGAATCGCCGGCTCGGACTTGCTAACGTACTTAGATAAGTAGTTCAGTAAGGTTTCCGCACCGGTATATGGGGCAATATCGATATTCGCCAACCACGCCATAGTCACCACAGGATTGTATGAATTCAGGTGAACGTCACTGGCGGACCACTGATTTTCATCCCGCCACAGAACGTAAATTCAAATGACCACCGGCAAAGGTCGCATCAGTCCCAATATCTGAATTCCACCGTTACGGATTTGCACAACGCTCTTCAGCCTCTTGAGTACTGAAGTTGAAGCATTTGCGCCGAGCTTCCTTGAGCTCGACCGGTCACTTGTTGCGCTTGGCACCGCTGGGAAACGCCATCCTTAGGCAAATGACACACTTTGTAGTGGGGGATGTTAGACGGATAACAACCTTGGGAGACTGTGTCAATGAGCGTTAGCAGATATATGAGGGGATGCGACTAGGTGTGACATAGCACTCACCACCATGAGTGCTGATTATGTTAAAATAAAGATAGCGATGTGTAAGAGAGTTATAAGAGGCCCAAATCTCCAAGCCGTTGCAGGACTGCAAGACGGCCCTACTAAAGGATGGTCCCACGAAAGGGGCACAAAGGAAGAGTTACGCCATGAAAACTACTCTAGCCGGCCAGACCAAAGCTGAGAGAGACAGCTTTGGCCAGTTGCATACGGCAATGAAGGAGGCTCTGATCCACAATGTGATATTCTTCGACTCAAGCCGTCAACTTTGTGTACTTTTCAACGATCTCAGCGTAGTCATACTAATCGACGGGGTCACAGGCCAGATCAGAATGGTTTCAGGTTCTTCAGTGTATCCTTGTACTATGTCTTGGTGGGCCTCTTGTTGTTGGTCTTCTTGTTCGTCGCCATGGTGGAGCAAGCTGGAGATTGTATTCAGAGTTGTATTCAGAAGTGAACAAGAGGTGAGAGTAAGCTGTTGGTCTTGGCGCGCTCAAGCGAGGGTAAAGCGAACGATTTGTTGTAGCAGGTACGAGCCGGAGTGAGACAATTGTGAGAGCAGGAGCTCGTAGAGTGATAGTAGGAGGTTGTAGTCACAAGTGAGCTATAAGAGAGTCATAAGAGAATCATAAGAGAGCCGCAACAGAGCCGCAAGAGAGTCGAGGGAGAGGTGAGAGAGGAGTGAGAAATCCTAAGTTTTAATATGATTGACCACACGACCAAGATGCTCGTGGGTGTGATACTGCTCCGCGGGCCGAAGTTGGAGGTCGGAGCGAGCATGGTCGTGGATCGGCTGCGTAATCGACCAAGAAGTTGGATTCATACCCGAGATAAACACCCCCCAGTGCTGAGTGAAGAGAGAACGGAGCTTAGGAGTGTCTAACAGCTTGGGATCCAGGCAACCGTAATGGCACCAGAATTCTGGAACGTTGAACATCCGATTCAGGGCCTTCTCCCGGAAGATCCTGAATCGGATGTCGAACTACTGGGCGATGACGTGGGGGTTCTGCTGCAGGTTCGTTCGCGCAGTCCGTCAGCGCGCCGCCGCATCATCGGCCTGCTATTCCGCATATTGGGGCTGACGGCGCATCAGATCGTCCCAATGGAGATCTGCAGCAGACAGAGGTTAAAAGAGGTTAGCGACCCCAATGTTCCCGACATATGCTAGCAAATCGTGTCGCCGCGAGTTCCAATATGGCTGGGTGCCCCGAAGGTTGGCAGAGTGACGAGAGATATCCCTCGGCAGCCTGAGGAGAGGGAGAGATGAGAGAGGCAGGAGAGGTAGGCGGGAGGTGAGAGGAGGGAGAGAAGTGAGAAATCCTAGGTTTTATAGGAAATAGGGCTAACTATAATGTTGTAGTATGGCGCCATCAATATTTATACATACATGTAGTCTCTTAAAGGCCTAGAAATAGCTATCAAAGGTGCTCTACTAATGAAATTAGGGGATAGTTAGCCGTTATATTCTGAAAGATCCAGAAAAGACCTTAGTAAAGATATAGAAAGATGATAACAAAACTAACAAAATGGCTTTTATGGTAGCGACCACGAGATGTACGAGCGATTTATCTATGATAGGTGTTTTGGAGTATGGCATAGTATATCGAGTTCATAAATCTATTTGAAATAGAGAAATAATCCCATTCTGGCTTTTACATAGGTTGGCGCGATGGACCCAAAAACTTGTCCTGGTTGGGGCATCAAATGGGCGTATACGACCCTGAGAGCTATGCCCCTTCGTTAGATGCACATGCACAAGCGGGATGTGAAAGGCAAATACTCGAGATAGTTTCCTTACCAGTTGCGCCAGAGCGACCGACTTCACAGAAATTAATTGTGGACTAGTGGCATATCCTTATGCCGTGTTACCCAACATCGCCTGAAATCAGTGAGAAACAAAGGTATGGATCGTAGCACTGCCTCAACGAGTGCATTTGATCGCTGCATCTCGCTTTCACCAAACGACCTCGTGGCTCTAAGGCCACGAATCCATCGCCTCATTATGTCGTGCACGCATCCTTGTAGGGGTGGTAAGCTGGCGCTCCTTTGCACGGATGCGAATAGTGGCACGCTGTTTATCAAAAGAACCTGAGGTAAAGTCGGAAACTGTAAAGTTGTTAGAATCGCAACTAAACACGTGTGCAAGTGATTGGAAGTTTTGAAGAAGCCCTCAGAGAGAAGATTAAGGTCGTCAATGCCTCGCACATCCGCAGATGGCATGGCTTTCCGGCTAAGGATGATGTTGTTCATCATGAACGGGCAAGGGTGTAGTGGAATGGGATGTGAATAACTTACCGCTTTTTCGGTTCCCTGAGAAGTGTATGCTTGTTGTCCATTGTGTCAAAGATAGGGGCTTCTGACCAGCTAGTCAATGTGGAGGTGGGGGAGCTGACTCGAACATCACTCATATCAGATACAATCAGTCATCATAGGAAATAATCCTGCGACCTTGGTAAGGCATCTGCGACACCGGTGGCCTTGTCATTTGTGTTTGATCAGAGTCGTCCCCGTAGTCCAGCTTAGGAGTCTTGTCTGGAGCGTGTCTCTTAGACCCCTTTCGTGACTGTGACCGCTTCTGATCGCCACCCTTGGTCTGAGACTCGGCGTCTAGAGCTCGCTTCTCTGGTGCGGCCTCCGGTTTACCCTCTGATCTATCTCGAGATGACTGCATGCGAGCTTGGTATTGCGTCTCGTCATCTTTGAGCTGCCTCTCCCGCAGCAGGGCGTGGATTTCGCTATGTCTGAAGATCCGAATTTGCTCATCTGTGAGGGTGCGTTTCACTCCATCTGGGTAGTGTCCGAGATCATCGTCTGTGGTCTGGTCATTTTCTAGGGGGAACACGGCCAGCTGTTGGCCAGGGAAGTGGTTGGATTGGAAGGCTTGGAGGTCATCCTAGATGAGGAGAGGTTCAGAATGCATCTTGATCACGGATGATAGAGAAACTCACCACAGTTACATTTGGGACCTGCATGTTGGTCCAGTGTTGTTGAAGAAAGATGGGAGTCGCGGGAAGACGCGATCTTGCGGGTAATATTACCGTAATTACGGTAAGTTAAAAGGGGTGTTGTCACAAAATGAGGAGGGTCGCACTCATTTAAATCCCATTTAGGTCGAAGTCTGCAATGCCTCTAGGATTGCATAGCGGAAGACATATACTCTGTTTAATGAAAAGTGAGAAAAAAACGTCAGAGATCCTATAAGTCTAGGAAATGGAGGAACTCTTAAGTATAGTACGATAGGGTTAATATAGCGACGATCTACAGCCAAGGCGAGCAGTCAATTCTTCATCATGTGATTATATTCGTACACGTCTATTTCTAAACAGCGCTGTAGTGTGTATATGCGAATGACAGTAAGTATGCAAAAAAGCCAACTCAAGCAGCCACTCGAGATCGAAAGGTATCAAAAGTATCCAAAGAAATGCTCCCAAATGCGAACCCAAAACACCAAAATCCCCTCCCAAGACACAATTTTATACAAGCCAAGCTAACCCAACAACAGAAACCCACAAACGCAAATGCAGCTAAGCATTATTCGCACAAGAAAAGCTCGCACTGCTGGGATTATCATGAAGAGCCTTTCCAGAAACCCAAAGACCAAGACCGCACAGCGCAGCACCAACACCAATAACAAGGAAATTCAACAAAGTAAGCGCAATTTTCCTCGGTGACGAGAACCACATCCCCTTATTCATAAACAACCAAAAGATCCCACTCAAGCCGTAGGTAAACCAACTCGCGAAAAGCGCTGTGATCAAGCTGAGCAGGTTACTGAACACCGGAATGGCGGCGGAAATAATCCACGCCAGGATCCACAACACGAGGGCAATACCGATCCACGATCCCGTGGCGATCCAATCGCGCTTGTGCATTCGATCCGTGCCCTGGAAAATACGCAAGTAGACATACTTGAATGCGATGTGGCCGTTGATCACACCGGCAATGATGATAGTCGGTAGGGAGATACCGTATGCGATTTTCGCGACGATCGGTGAGGCAGAGCCTAGCGCTGGAGATGTCACGTCGCTACCGGCGTAGCGGTAGATGACCAGTGCGGCGGTGATGTACAAGCCCATGTCGATTCCTTGTAGGAGACAGAGGGATTTTGTGAAGTCTTTTGGGTTTTTGAGTTCAGCCATTAGGCCGAAGAAGGCTGCGTGACCGCAGAAGGCGAAGACGATGTTGCAGACTGCTGTGAAGCCGTGGAAGAGGTTTGTGTCGACGACAGCGACGACGTCTGATCCTGGTTTTGTGATGCCGACGGCGATCATGACGATTATGACTGATGTCATGATGCTTACGAATGCTGGAGTTTGTTAGTGGTTGTTCCCGGGGTGGAGGAGGAGGAGGAGGAGGAGGAGGAGGAGGGGATGGAAACGTACAAACTATTGATAGCCATGACATCTTTGCTAGAGTGCGAGGTAAAGAGCAGATGAAGGAGACTATCATGCCGACGATACCGAAGACGATGGAGCAGGTGCCGTGGTTTGTGATGGTGTTCATGGCCACGGTGAAGGTTAATAGGTGGCTGGCCATGACGAAGATGAGGAAGATGATCTGTGCAGCACCGAGGAATTCTCGTCCCCATTTCCCTGCGATCACTTCACCGGCATCTGCCATTGTGGAAATGTGTGGGTATTTCCATTTCATCTGTCCGATCACGTAGCCGGTGTATGTGGCCAGTGAACCTAGGAAGACCAAGACGATGATGGCGCTGATATCATTAGTTCCAATTCCTGCACTTTGAGTCAGAAGGTAAGCTTACGGAACCAGTCCCAGACCTGCAACAGCGGCGGGCAGTGACAGCACACCTAGTGATACTGTTTCGGCGACCATGACTAGTAGAATGTTAGATTGGAGGTTGATTTTGATATAGCAGGTTATATCACATACGCAGACCACATTGCCTAAACACGAACCCAAGTTAGTCACAGAGCAATTGAACTTTTCAAGATATGCAAACATACCACCACTTGAGTACTTTGTACTTGACCTCCGCGAACTCCTCATCGCCAAAGGCATCTTGTCTGACTTTCGGAACGTCGATGAACTTCTCCGGATCGGACTGCAAGTCTGTAGGATTGATATAGGAGCTCTTCTCATTGGAAACGACATCCAAACCAGGAGGTGAGGAGCTCATAGCGAAGATATCAAAACCAGCGGATACTCGGGAAGTAGATATTAGGTCGGGAATCGAACGAAAAAGCCAAGAACAAAAGCAAATCGATTGATACAACTTGAAAGAGAGACACACAGATCTCAACGAGAGGAAAATAGTATTAAAAAAATCGAATTCAACAAAAAAAAGCTTCCACCAATTCTGTAAATTGAAGAATAGAGAATCCGCCACCCGAAACGGATGTGGATCGCCGACCTGCGGACCGAAAGGACGAATCACCTCGTCGGGACGTAATAAAAAGGCCGAAAAGGACTTGGTTCACTGGAGCCAAATGGGCAAATCTGCCCGTCAAAACTGGAGAAATGGAAAACTTCGCTCCGATGCCGGCCTCCTACTATAGAGGTTGAGACCTCCAGGGGTTGAGGTCTGGATGAAATTTTCAAGGTACAAAAGATCAGAGGCAAATCTCTCGGGCCGCGTGTAGATTAATGAGAAAACTCTATATGATAAGCTTAATTCTGTCAGTCTAGCCTCTATTACTGTCTAGCCTATTATCGATGTTCTTGAAGGATGTCGTGCTTATATTTTGGCCCCAAATTGAACGCGTTCGGATGTCGGGTCGGAGATGGTCGCTAGTTCCGGGTTTTGATTGTATGATCTCATATGGATATCTGGATGAACTATTCCCTATTTTCTCATTGGATATAGGAATTTCAAGTGGTGTTGTTCTATGAACATCCTACCCCCTTCTCCCTTTCCATCGATTACAAACCCGTTCCATAAGGAGAAAGGATAGTCTCAACGACACGATATCTTGTCGATTGAAATTATAAAGGTGTACTTCCTTTGTCATAGTAGGAAGATGGGATTTTGGTCTGTAGCAAATTCTGGTTCCATCACCAGTCTTTGCGATGAGTGCGTGACATGAGGATGCTGGAGATTCGAGCTCCATTCCCAGGTATGGAGTGTCAGTGAAAGGGCGGCGTATCTGCAGAGAGGGTTTGAGCGACACTATCCCGTTCCTATCAAGGGTGTAGGTAATTGCAAATAGTAGCGTGGGTCTGAAAAAGGGAAACTCCGAGGATGAAATGGCGAAGTCAAATGTGACACTCACGTAGGAGTCAAGGTCCAGAATCTCAGAGTTAGAACCTATGTTCTGAATCGGCTCGCTCGCCATCTGGTCGAGGGCATTGGGCCTATTCCTCGTTCAGCATCCGTGAGAGACCCCGAGCCTTTTTCTAGAGACAGGATTATGCTTCGCGTGAAGCTCGTCTCTGCTCGCGCACATGATATCCGCGTGACGCATGAGATTCCAGCTTAATTCCTGCAGGCGATGTTCATCGACACGGCCTCGAAGTATTTTGCAATAGTCAAATTGAGGCCTTTGGACTGTTGAGGGCAGTCAATTTGTCTGGGTCGATCGGCTGGATATGGGACGGAATGAGGACTTCAACGTCCTGTTTCACGGGTAGCCAGGAGATTCTACCTGAATCGACCAGAATATACACTTGTACACTGGATTGGTGGTCCCAAGTAAATCCAGCCACTGGTAACGGTAGGCCGACGAACGACAACGTTGCAAGAGAGGTGGATGGATTTGGGATGTCACCGTTATTTGCCTTCCACTCTTTGCGCAGCGATTGGCGCGACAGAAGAGAAATAAGAGAAAATATGGAATGTAAACCTCAGTTTCAGCGATGTAAACGAAGTGTGTCAATGAAAAACACGTTAGACGACCCCAAAATCGTGACTTCGCCTTCACTTTTGTTCATGAAAATATTGAGTCCATCAGAGGGCTGGTTTGTAGGATCCCATTCAACTTTATCGGGGTTGACCATTGGACTTCTTCGGTTCACTGTCATCGCCAAGTCTGGTCTTCCCAGATGTTCACATCGCGTAGTGTAGGGACTCTAAACAGCATATTTTATGGCTATCGCTTCCGTAGAGAAGGTAAGGTGGAAAATGGACTTGGAAAGAGTAAGAGAGAGAAAGAGAAAGGAAGACCCAGGTGAAGAGGAAGGGTTTTATCCTTAGGCTTCAGGGCTCAACCGCTTAGCTCATTGGGCTCTTTGATATTAAGTGATCTCGGTGATTCTTTTGTTCCATCTACATATATCATCTTGGATCAATCTTCCTACCTTTGGTATCTCCTCACCTAAGCAGGTAAATTGTATACCTCCCCCAGTCCAATGGCTGGGAATGGGACTCTGAAAGGGACTGACTATCCGATGGGCTGACATTCATCGCCAAGAGGGGCGTGTTAACACTAGAGATTCCCATATATCGACAGCAATGGAACGTCAGATCTCCCACCAAAGCCATACAAAGGAGCCTGAGTCAGAGCCCACGCCCTACCAGTATGTATCCTAACCATCATCCCCGGAGCCGTCTCTCGATCCTCCTTGAATCTTACTTTTCCTATCTTTCACCTACCCCTACATGACTCATATCTCTCAGGTTTCTTCTTGCTAACCACCCGAATCTTAGGTAGCCTCTCATTTGTCTTTCCTCCCACCCCACCCGTATTGGGTTCAAGTCCTCCCCACGGCACTCATTGAACATTGGACACTATAGCATCTTCTACATCTATAATCCCTGTCTCGCTCCCCTCATCAGCCTTAACATTCACCATCCCAGTCAAAATATATTCCAGTAAAGTGGTAATACCTGCTTTGAAAGCTATCCTCGAAAGGGTAGTTAAAGAAATGGGGTTCACCACCAAGTATGGTGAAGAGTAAGGGTCACTGCGTCTCCCCGCCCGTATTTCCTTGCGTCTACTCGGGTCAGCCAGACAGCTTTTCACCATATGACATGAAATAATATAGCTAACAATAAAGCAGAATGGCATTACATAGCCACGACAAGCTTCTCCTAGCGAGTATGGCCGAGATTTCATCCCATGGTAAAGCTATTTGCTTTTACCACTAACCAATCCCCTTTCGAGGTGTGATCCACGTACGAGAGGGACCCGGAAACTTGACCTCCTATCATCGAGATTGAGAAAGAATGCCTACAGCAGACGACGAGGAAGATTTGATGTGCTCGGGAGTTTCACTAAGTATGTACCTCGACATCTTACTAGGACACGAGGTGGCGCAGATCTTGAAATTTCACTGCGTTTGGGTGAAAGGCGCTGCAGTAAAGATGAAAGGATCACGGATTGATCATATGTGCCCTGACGCCAGTATAACGCTGGGGCTATGCTTTTCCTTTTTCAAATACTCTAACCAAAACATATGCGTATTCCGTATGCAGCTCAGCGAACCCTTCCAGGCAGCTGGCCAATACAATCTCTTCCAACATTCCATACAGAGAGTTATCGAAGTAGGGTAAACACTTTCCTGTTTAGGTAAAACATCGACCTTGAGGAAATCTTTGATATATGTAGTGTACAACAAGCTTCTCACTAGTTACTATACACTCCACCTGTAGGCCACAGTAGATTAAGCTTGTATCTATTATCATATTTCCTGACTCTACAATTTCTCATATATGCTTCAAGCTCAAGACCTACTTTACCGGAGAAGCCGGAGCAAGATATCGATATTACAAGACATAGACACCTAAGAGATGTCTCCTGATACTAACAGGAACCCTAGTAGTCCTAGTTTCAAAACAGAGATGGCGCAACGTAAGACCCGATATAGCAAAAGCATCTAAATGGCGCAAACCCTTGAACCAGCACATACAAGCTCATACAGAAACAATACATACAGACTTGCCATGCATTAGAAATGCATCTCTATCACCGCACTAGCAGTGAAAGATCATCGCGGCGGCTACGTAAACACCATCTTAGAGTCATATGCAAGTTCATGCATATCCTCGACACCAACAGCGGTAATGATATCACCTACCTGCATACATGTACTGATCTCTGCGTACATACGCATATACGCTGGAAATACCAAATTCAGATAATAATATCTATTCAATAGGATTAACCATGAACTAATGTAATTGTACAAAAATAAACCGGGGGGCTGAAAGCCTCAACCGAAATGAATCCCATCCAACACCAACCCAACACCAACACCAGCGGACATTCAGTCCGAATAAACAAAAAAAGCAAAAAGGTAAAACTCAGAAACACCATGCTAGAAAAATGCTATACAAAACAAACCCACCATGCACCATACCATGTACCATGCAATGCACCATGCACCAAGTAAACCCCACCATCTCACCCCAAACTCCTCCGCTTAAGCCTCCTCCTCTTCCGCTGCGACTGCATAATAGACTCCTCATTCAGAATATCCGGCGCTAGCTCGAATTCCCGCTCTGTCTGGTCTGGAACTGGATATCCGAATGCGAGGGTTGAGCGAGATCCGCCGCGACGGATACCGTTTGTTGCGGCGATGGCTGCTTCGCGGACGTGTCGTTGGCGGAAAAAGGATGTGAAGGGGCCTTCTCGTGGGGCTGGATTCCAGAAGTGGGAGAGGGGGGCTTGCTGGAGGGGTCGTGGGGTTGGTTTGGGGGTTGGAGTTGGAGTTGGAGTTGGAGTTGGAGTTGGAGCTGAGGCTGGAGGTTGTGGGTGTGGTTTTGTGGGTGTTGGGTTTGGTTTTTTGCGTTTGGGGGTGGGCTTTGGTTCGGGGTCGTTTGTGTTTGTGTTGGTAGTGCTGGTATTGGTAGTGGTAGTGTTGGTGTTGGTGGGTTTGGAGATAGACTTGCGAGCAGGTGCTGTCTTGCGCTGTTTAACGGCGCTTGCTGATTGAGCTTCCTGATGAAGCTGACGCGCAGCCAATGCGTCGACATCACTTGGGTCTGGGTCTGGGTCTGCATCTGGCATGCTTTGTAAATCAGCCCCAGGTGCCGGGGAGCTATTCACGTCTTCAGCGGGCCGGGATCGTTTGCGCGAGTGCTGTCGGGCCGGGACATTAGGTGCTGCCTCAGTGCCTGGCGCTGGTTGTGCCTTTTCCCTTTCCAGTTTGCGTCGACGCTCTTCGTCTTTCCATGCTTGGAATTTGTTCACCAGAGTGACTAGCTCTTGTATTAGAATATCGCGCTTCGGCTCGTAGAGCTTCTTGTCGCTTTCGTGGACTCCCGTCAGACCCATCACGCGTAGCCAGTCATGGCCGCGTAGCTCGTCCAGGAGACGCTCGAGGACTTGTTGTTCGTGCTGGGCACGGTTGCGCTCGATGTTGCGGAGTTGTTTCTCTTGTCGTTCGAACTTGCGGTGCGCGCGGAAATAGGTCTCTTCGCCTAGTGGGTCGATTGTGGGTGTGTTTGCGGGTTTGGGGAGGGTGATCTTTTCACAGTCGTAGAGCTTGAGGAGGGGGTTGCCGAAGGGTGTAGGGTCGGGGTTGGAGGAGAAAGGTAGTGGTCGCGATAGATCGTCCACGAGAGTGATGGTTGTTTTGGCGGCGAGGAATTCTGTATAATATCCAACGTCAGCTATGCGCTCGATACACTCGGGATCGAGTAACATACCAGGTTCGGGGTCTTCCAAGCTGATAATCTGTTCATAGTTGTGGAAATACTGCGCAAGCTCGCTCTTGCATCGTGATCCGGTATCGGTCGAACGCAACGACCGTCTCCCCGACCGTGAGTCTGCAGGCTCGTCGGGCGCCTCGCTCTTGACATCTGGAGTCGCACCCTCCCCCTCTTCCTTGATCGCGTTCTCGTCGGTCAGCGATCGTTTGTCATTGCGACGAGTTGTGCGGGTCACAGGTGAAGGTGGTTTGAGATTCGAGTCCACATTGGCCGGGGTAACGGTGCGCTGCTTCGCGACCGAGGGAGCTGGAGAGATGGTGTCCAATGGGTCTGGCGACTCATTGATGTCGCGCAACAAGTCCGCGGAGGGGGTACCTTGGTCACGACGGGCGCGTGGGGTTTTGAAGAGACCATTTCCGTTTGTACGTGTTGTCGGTGTCGCCAATTGGCCCGAGGCGACCGTGTCAACTGACGAAGAGGAGTCGCGACGAGTGCGAGAGGTGCGCGGGCGCGAAGGTTTCAAGTGAGATTTTGGAGGTTCTTTGGAGGTATCGAGACAATCGGGGGAGCTTTTGCGGGCATCTTGGATGCGTTTTGCCAGACCGTCGGCAGGTTCTTCAGGCCGTCGCACAGAGCGGAGTGACCGCGACAGGGCCATTAATAGATTGGTTGAAGGAGATTAAGCGATCATTGTAAGGTGGGTTGGGGAAAACTCTCCCTTTTTTTACAGGGATTTGGGGATGGGATATGGGCAGAGAAGTTCTTGGCGGAGGTTGAGGTTGTGAGGTTTATATATAACTATATCGGAATACTTATATTTTATGACTCTATTCACACATTCACAATGCTTTGTGTTTTATTGTTTTATTGTTCTATTCATTATAATTGTTGAGATTGTTAGACATTCAGGTAAGCTATAATATACAGGCGAATCATGCACTCTTCTGATTCGGATTTCAATTCCGATAGATAATTTTTTATATTAAAACCATTCTATTGTGAAAATATCTTCAATGCCCTCAATATCCTCTCGTCTCGGAAAAAGGACATACCCCCACGGGCGTCAGTGTGGGGGACGGCAATTCAACCATCGTAAGTTCCGAATTCCATTCCAATATCCCCATATATCCCCATATATTACGGGATTTCGAAGCTCTTAAGCTTCGAAATTGGACAGTATAATAGTAGTAGACCAGGTTCAGGAGTATATCCTTGCACAAGAGCTAACACATCTCGAGTTCTCCGAAGAGCAAGTACTCCCGAAGCAAACCCCATAGACAATATATATATCTGCATCCATATATTAACCCCCGCAAAAAAAAAAAAAGTGGGGGGGAGGGGAAATGATGTCCGAATGAGAAGACAGACATGAAGTGCCTCCCACGCGCATATTCGCCAAGTTTGGTGGACGTGGGGGATTTACCAGCTAAATAGCTGGAAGTCCACCATTCCCATTTCCTTTCAACGATATATTTGGTATGAAAAAGATGAGAGTAACTTACTAGAAAAGCCACTAACCGATCAATATAGATCCAAATCTCCAAATTTCCAAATCTCAAAATGACCAACCGAACCAAATTGAATCCCCTCCCCCACGGTGTCTACGTCCCCACCGTAGCATTCTTCAAACCCGATGAAGAGGTCGATCTCGCAACGGTCGAGAAACACGCCGTCTATCTCGCCCGCAGCGGGGTAACCGGCCTAGTAACCCAGGGCAGCAATGGCGAAGCCGTCCACCTAGACCGTGAAGAGCGCAAGGCCATCACAGCAGCCACACGTCGGGCTGTCGATGAAGCAGGATTTAGTACCATGCCTGTGATCGCGGGCTGTGGTGCCGCATCAACACGTGAGACCATAAATTTTTGCAAGGACTCCTCTTCAGTTGGGGCCGACGCAGTACTGGTGCTCCCACCTAGCTACTACAAGACCCTCGTGAGCACCGAGTCCATGCACGCCCACTTCCGTGCAGTAGCCGACGCCTCGCCCATCCCCGTGCTCATCTACAACTTCCCCGCCGTGCAGTCCGGTCTCGATCTGAGCTCAGATGATATCTTGGCACTGGCCGAACACCCCAATATCATCGGGTGCAAGCTCACGTGCGGTAACACGGGGAAGTTGGCTCGTGTTGCGGCAGCGAAGCCGGATTTCTTGACTTTTGGTGGATCGGCCGATTTCACGCTACAGACGCTCGTTGCTGGTGGCGTGGGCATTATCGGTGGACTAGCGAATCTGATGCCGCGCTCGTGTGTGCGGGTTATGGAGTTGTATCGTGATGGGAAGGTTCAGGAGGCGCAAAAGCTGCAAGCTGTTGTTGCGCGTGCGGACTGGGGTGCCATTCAAGGTGGCTTTATCGCGGTGAAGCAAGCCCTCCAATCCTACCGAGGATATGGTGGTCTTCCTCGGAGACCTTGTGTGGTTCCCTCTGCTAAGGCTGCGGCGGCCATCCAGGAGGAGTTCCGAGAGGGGATGGAATTGGAAAAATCCTTAGAGACGGTCTAATGGATAAGTAGATTAAATGATACCTCCATAAGTGGAGCTTGCTGTTCCTTTCAGATTTGTTGATAGATCGACATGGCAGTGTGACTGTGTCATTCTTGATGGCTAGGTCCGTAGGTCCGTAGGTCCGTAGTTTCCCCCTCTTTTTTTTTTGATTATCGAGTAAAGTTGCATGTAGAGGTTGCACTTTCTCTCTCCTTTAATCTCTTTTAATATGAAACTTAGTTGATTTTAGAGGATGTAACGAGGGAGAACTGTTTGTTTTTCCCCGAATCTCGAATCTCAGGTTGCATCAATCCTCACATTCTCCACGATGAACGATCGGCAATGCAGCTGAACATAAATAGGCCTGGATATCTCCTGGCCTCAGTTCTACTCTTTCTCATCCTCACTCAACTCATTAATATGAAGTTCGCCTCTGTTCTGAGCGTGCTTGGGGCCCTGACGGCTGTATCCGCCGTTCAGGTGAATCCACTTCCCGCCCCCCGTAACATCACCTGGGGATCCTCCGGTCCAATCCAAGTCAACCACTTGAAATTGAACGGTCATCAGCCAGCTGTGGTTACGAAAGCTTGGGAACGAGCATGGGAAACAATTACCACCCTGCGATGGGTCCCTGCAGCTATTGAAATCCCCATCGCCTCCTACCCAGCCTTCCCCTCCTCAACCCCTGCCGCCAACGCCAAGCGCGCGCCCGCGGCAATCCACAACGTCGAGGTCCATGTGGTGGACAAAGATGCCGATCTCCAACATGGCGTGGATGAATCCTATACACTGGTAGTGGCCCATGGGGGTATCAGGATCAATGCCCAGACCGTCTGGGGTGTATTGCACGCATTCACCACTCTGCAACAGATTATCATCTCGGATGGCAAGGACGGCTTGATCATTGAACAGCCCGTCAAGATCAAGGATGCCCCCTTGTACCCTCACCGTGGTATCATGATGGACACCGGTCGCAACTTCATCACCGTTCGCAAGATCTTCGAGCAGATCGATGGTCTCGCCCTCTCCAAGCTCAACGTTCTCCACTGGCACTTGGACGATGCTCAGTCCTGGCCCATGCAGATGAGCTCCTATCCCGAGATGACCAAGGATGCCTACTCGGCTCGCGAAATCTACACCGAGCATGACATGCGTCGCGTGCAAGCTTATGCCCGCGCGCGAGGTGTCCGCGTCATTCCCGAGGTCGACATGCCCGGTCACTCTGCCTCGGGCTGGCAACAGGTCGACCCGGAGATTGTGGCTTGTGCCAACACCTGGTGGTCGAACGAGGTGTGGTCGGAGCACACCGCGCTCGAGCCCAACCCTGGCCAGCTCGATATCATCTACCCCAAGACCTACGAAGTCGTCAACAACGTCTACCAGGAATTGTCCAAGATCTTCGGCGACAACGTCTTCCACGTTGGTGGCGATGAGATCCAGACCAACTGCTACAACTTCAGCACCCATGTCACCAAGTGGTTTGCCGAGGATCCCTCGCGCACCTACAGAGATCTCACCCAGTACTGGGTTGACCACTCCATGCCCATCTTCCGTAGTGTCGGCGACCACCGTCGCCTCATGATGTGGGAGGACATGGCCATCGCCACTGAGAGTGCTCACCACGTGCCCAAAGATGTCATCATGCAGAGCTGGAACAGCGGCGCGGGTAACATCAAGAGGCTCGCCAAGGCTGGCTACGACGTCGTCGTTTCCTCCTCCGATTTCCTCTACCTCGACTGCGGCCACGGCGGCGCTATCACCAACGACGTCCGCTACAACGAGCAGTCTAACACTGCCGGCGGCGTGAACTTCAACTACGGCGGCGACGGCGGCTCCTGGTGCGCCCCCTACAAGACCTGGCAGCGCATCTACGACTACGACTTCCTCACCAACCTCACTGCCACCGAGGCGAAGCACGTTATCGGCGCCGAGGCTCCCTTGTGGGCCGAGCAGGTCGACGATGTGACCATCTCCAGCGCATTCTGGCCTCGCGCCGCTGCTCTGGGTGAGCTTGTCTGGTCTGGTAACCGTGATGCTGCGGGCAGAAAGCGCACCAATAACCTCACTCAGCGCATCCTGAACTTCCGTGAATACCTCGTTGCTAATGGTGTGATGGCCACTGCTTTGGTGCCCAAGTACTGTCTGCAGCACCCTCATTCTTGCGACGCCGATAAAAACCAGACTGTGATCCATTGATTGTGGTTTGAGCGGGACTTTTAGTGAACTTTATGAATATCGAGTTAGTCTGTCTACTCGTCTGTATATACTTAGTCTACCTTCGATACCCAATATGGAATTTTCCTGGATATATCTTCCTAGTCAGTACTTCATGTCCACATTTAACCTACAGCAGTAGTTTATCCAAATAATCAACCTACGCCAGCCACCAACACCTCGCCACCACCACCCATATACATATGATATCTACTCCATACCCAATCCAAATCAGGCACCAAACCCCCTCCCCCAGCCCAAATCAAAATCAAACCCAACACTAACCTCCCTTTTGCCTCCCATATATTCATACATGTATCCATCAGGACCATCACCCCGATCCAATCCAATAATCCCGCTTAACCCAAACAACCCCATAACCAAAACTAAACCAAAACATCACAAGACACCCAGAACACCCAGACCCTCCCCCTTCCCAACCCACCCAGCCCACCTCCAACCAATCCAAAATCAAACCCCGTGCAACATCCCACATCCCTTGGAACTCTCGGCCCCGACCCGGACTTAGATGTCCTCGGGACGGGCTTGCAGTATGCATGTACCGGAGTACTCTGTAGGATGTAGTAGGGAGCTGCTATGTACATGTCGGTATATAAGTAGGTACCATGTTCAGTTCAAGTAGCAGTCTTGTAAGCAGCTCAGATGAATTAACATTAATATGTATAGTACCTGCGGTATATATCTCATAATAAGATACTTTCGTCATAGCACATGGTCGTGTTTAGACATGCGTATGTACATGTAGGTACAATGTATACGTTAATGCAAAAAGTAGAAGTATGTTCCATATTCTATATTGCATAATGCATAATGCATAATCTATATCTATGCCTGTCTGTATTTATATAAATCTCGCCACATAACAACCCAATACCATACCTTACCTCTCACAAACCAGCCCAGCCCGCCATCCCTGAAAACCCCAAACTCGAAACCCAGCATATCCAGACCGGGCTGGGCTGGTGGAGTTTGGGGGCTTGGCTCACGTGTACACGTACATGCAGAGTATATGTTGTACAGGATTTTAGGCGGGAATGACAAATTGACGGATTGAGGAGAAACAGGCGAACTTTTTATTTTCTTTCTTTGGTAAATATTTACATAGGTTTATCCTACGTAGGTGTGTATATTTATGTTTATGTTCATCCTTGACTGACTGGGGCTCGTCACACGTGGAGTTTATGGGATTTAGTACTGACGAGGTCCTTGTCCTTGTTTAGTTTCTTCATATGTAGTCTCGAACGAGGGTCTATTGATTTGATATCGGGATACTACTCTACATCTTCCCTTCCTTTCTCCCAGAGTTGGGGTGAAATGATCTCTTCTTTCGTCCTGTATGTACATTCTCCGGAGGTATTCGGGTACAACCCTGTCTTCACATATCATGTGTCCATACAAATAAGTACCGACGCTTCCATTTCCGGTTCGCTGTGTTAAGATCGGGAACTGATCTCGCATGTTTGACAGAGGGTGCACAAGCACGCGGTCGTTCTGCGTAACGTGTTTATATTATTGGATTGGTTGTCGCAGTGAGTATTTGTGGTGTTCGGCTAATATGTCCAGGGACATTTTAGGAAGTAAGCTTCTATTTAGGAATTGACGCTTGGTTTGGTTAGTCTAGTACTTTAGTCTACGTGCTATTTTAGAATAGCAGCTTTGGGTAGGTGCGGTGTTTCTGTCTTTGACTTTGGGTTATGGTTTACGTCTTACCTGGCGAGGATGAAGGGTGGAATAGGTTTCTGTATCACAGTCGTGTTTCAGCGTGCATCGGGGTCTTTTTTTTCTTCTGTTATATCCCTTGGCTTATGTTTCATGGGGTTGTGCGGGTTTCGTATAATATATGTCTGGCATTTATATGGTATGGCTGGGGCGTTGAGATAGGGTTTGGTTTGAGGTTCTTTTGCCACATGTATCAAACCAAATATATATCGACGCATCAAAAATAGAAATTCGTTCATTAACAGCCATTACCATGTACTAACTTTTAATTTTACGCTGACTCTATTTCATCTTGTCTCGTTGCTCGTTACACAACATCAACCCAAAGAACCAGGTATAGTTTGATCGCAGGCCACGACCAAATAGAAGGTCTCGTGTTGGTTAAGGCAACAAATCTGGAACTGTATTTTCGACGGGACTGCGGAGAATTTGCGCCATTTTATGTACGTCTACAAGGTCACTCCCTGGTATACCGGGGTTTGTTTCATGATATATCCTAGTCGATTCTGACGCGCGTGTTGCAAAGGCCCGCAGGGACTCGACATTTGCATGGAAGTCCTTCTAGAACACAACTTGTCATTGGACGTACACGTGTTCTAAGCATATCTAACTCGAAGTTTGGCGAATGGTATCTTGCGTCGTTGAATCTGGATATATCGCACACGTGTTCGAGATACCATACCGGGACCCCGACTCGAGACAAGGCAACAGGACAGACCAAAGAGAAGATATAGACTTGTTCTACACAGCGGATCAATACCGTTGACCCGGGTCAATATCCAACATATTTATCACGAGCCTAAAGAGCATGGGCAATGCCTGTGGGTTACCCGGGTATACATCGTATAAAACTAGACATAAGCAGCGGGCCGAGCTTAGACGGTGAGGATCCCCCACAAATCAGCCCACGCCTTACGCGCAAGAATAATGTACCTGCTCGATGTACGCCACACCTCTCAATAGGGTTATCAAGCGGTGCCTGACCGCGTATACATACCCCCCCTTTCTTACCCAGTTCACCGGGTGCATCTGCTGCCGAGCGATCGCCAAAGTATCGAACCTTATTAAAAAAAACTTGCTATAAGATGCACCTGCCTAGTACGTATACCCGGGTGGTGATCATGAATTCTCAAGAGGTTTAACCTTACTAGATCGCAGGAATTCTCGTCCACACCTTCCGCGTGCTCGCGCTCAGACCAATTCCACCCGGGTGTCATGCGGTCGCGCCCTGTTTTTTTTTTTAACCCAGCAATGCAAATGCAGATGCACACGCGGGAGAAAGGCGCGATAATTTTTACGTCAGAGCGCCCGGCTCAGATATTAATTGTGGACATATGCCGTGTTACCCAACGTCATCGGAAATGTGAGAAAAAAGGCATAGCAGCACCGCCTCAATGAGTGGAGTTGATCTCGGGGAGAGAAGAAGCACTCCCCCATAGGTTGAGTAGAGTGGCTAGTGAGTGGGGAGAGGTTAGTGTTAGATGTGGATGTGTCTCTCTCTTCTTTTTGCTTCTTTTTTCTTCTTTCACTGTGGCACAGTCAAGTTTTGTAATGTAAAGCCTTGTGTACAGACTTGTACGAATTATGGAGTAAAGATATGGAAAAAGTACACAGTGGAGATGTGATCCACATACATTGTCGCTAGTGAATTACTTTGCATAAAATTTCGATTAAATCGTTCGCTTCGCATTTATTCGGGATCGGCACGCCAAGTTAGATCCAAGGTGACAGATCGAAATGAGTGGATGTGTGATATATTCAATCACCGATCGGGGACTTGGGATGTGTATCCGGCATCGAACAATCTGGTTCCCGAGATCCCGGGAATGGTGTCGATCATTAGAAATGTATAAGGGATTAGCAGTATTGGTTTAATACTTGATGCATAGGTATAATCAATCTCGATCGTGCATGTGCAGCAAGACCCTCTTTCCTATTGTGTCCATGTCGAAGTTGACAGCCGGTATTTCGTTGGAATAGGGTGGCTTGACTGATCACTTCACGTTTCGCTCTCGCTCTGGCAATATATTGTTTGCCTACTTCGTACAGAGTACTGATGCTAGAAACGGAGTATGAAGTGATCATAGGTACAGCAATGGACAGCACATGTCCGACGTGCAGGGAATATCACCTCGGGGACCTCCCTAGTAAGATTTAGGACACGATATGCGAGACCTGCTATCAATCTACCCTCGGATCTGCCTTCTTAAAATGTATCTGCCCCGGCCACAGGTGGCACAGTGTAACGCCTTCCCTCGAGTTTATCACGGGTTGCAAGATATCCACATTTCCCTCGGCTGTGACACCTCTCAGATATCAGAGATCAGATGATTAGATCCTGGTTTCAATCTAAAGAACCACCCCATATTCAAGTCTGTGGGTACATTGTAAAGTCCAATCAACTAGAGGAAATTCAAATCCATGAGCATTACAGATATCGTGCGGCCACTGAGAAATGATTGGACTACCCGTGTGATGCACAAACCCAAATAGTACAGCGAAAGGCCAGATTGTTTGATCTACGTTAACAGATACCACAAACTACCCGAGTCAGGGTCATGTTGGTTGTGTCCTAGGATTAATAGCTTGGCCCCCTTTCTCAAAGGTAATCTTGCATATCGCCCGTGTCAGTGGGTGATTGGACACCCCTCTCGGGTGAACACCCTAGCACGTAGATCAGAAATCAGAACCCGGGTGACTCTAAGTCGCATCTGGAGCAAATATTTAGGAATAGGGTATTCCACCGACATAGGACGAATGACTCGAACAAAAGCAAGAGCCGCACTATTACGTATAAAACTGGTTTCAATCACACAACTCACCTCGCGATGCAGTTCCTCAGATTAAAAAGATGAACATCCCTGTCCTACGCGCATTTAACCTTGTTAGCGATAAACCTAAACAAATATACTTCGGGTAAACTACAGCTATCAACCTGCTAAAGTATCTTAGTATTTGTTATTTGTCTTTCGCTTCCTAAACTCAATACTGCAGTCCCACATAGACTAAAGATCCCGTCCCAACTACTCCGTATATGGAACCGAGGAGCGAGAGGATCGGACCGTGCCTATAGCACGGCAGCTTTCCTTGTTTTGTTTGTGGATTGGACCAATAGCATAGTCTGGATATCGGGATTTCAGGTGCATCCTGTGGTGGTGAGACAGGTAGGGAAATGCCTGGCTAATACGAATACTCCGTACGGAGTAGTAGATTGCATACTGTGGGCTAGCTATAGTGTATTC